TCTGCAGTTCTTGGAGACCTGCCTAGAACAGGCTAAGGCACTGAGACCAGACCTGCTTACTTCAGGTTGCTACTGGGGAGGCGGAAGGAGAAATCTAATAAGTATTAGAAGGCGAATGTGATTCCCCCCTCCAAAAATTTGAGTGTTTTACTGTAACATAGCAAACCTGAAGGTTCTTCTGAAGACTAACACAGAGGGCTTTTCACCTCTGTCAGGCAAGCCTCTGTTCTGTTATATATGCTTACAGTTTCTGTGCATGTTGGGAACTCCTTTCAACCTGTTTGCCTTTTAACTTGATGGGGATCTTACGCTATTCTGCTAACTTTCTATCTGTTGTTTACAAATTAAGCTGCTTTTAAGTAGTCCTCATGAAAATAGGGGATTTGTATTTTACCTCATGATAGAAATGCATTACTAATATTATAGAAAAATGTAAGTCTTTCTTCACTTTATAAGTTAAGCATCCTTAGAATTGTGATCTACATTGTATGTAGCAGCATAGCTTACAAATAGCCATCTACTCCCTCTTGTGGTATACCACATCGTAAAGTCAAGCCGCCTAGTTTTGTTCACAACGAGGGACCAATACATCAAAATTTGGAAACCAACCAAAACATACACTTCCATACTGTAACATTTTTTCCAAGTTAGGACTAAATGTGTATGGCATGTCATTCATTATGAAAAAGTCTTGAAAAAACAACTGTGATTTTAAAGTAGAATGCGCTACCTTGAGCGGTATCTTACTACTACTCTACTTGCAAGAGTAGCTTAGAATTTTCTGCTCGTTAATCTTTTTAACTAGGTGATATCCAACAAAGTTGTAGGGAAGAAGGCTTCTAAATCCAACCCATATACCTCTGCAAACAGACAATGCTAGAAAGAGAAGTCCACACCTCTAAAGCTGCTCTAACACCTTCCAATGCTACTACTGGAAAAGTGTTAAGATTTCTTGTAACGATGCACAGAGAACATGTTTTCATTTCTTGGAAAATAATTAAGATCCTGGATAAATCTGAGTACAGTTGACAAGAATGTTTTCTGATGCCCCTTTTAAGAAACTCCTATCTTTCTATCAGATTATATGGCTTTGAGCAAACTGGTCTAGTGAAAGGAGTCCCTGCCCGTGGCAGAGGATGGGAGCTAGATGAGCTTTAAGGTCCCTAACCCTAACCAGTCTGTGATTCTATTGTAAACTGTCGCATAATTTTAATACAAGTGCTAAAACAGGTTTAACAAGGGCCTCTCATGCATTATATCACTAGTATCAGAAAGAAAACTTTGGATATGCTGTTTCTTGCTATGTGGTAACAGTACTGTATTTCTGTAAACTCTTTTGCTTCAATTTTTAGTGTACTGATCTTTACACAAAGCTTTTAGTAAAGAATGTACGTGTATTTGACACCGCTTCTGTGCTTTCTATTGTGTCAGTATCACTTTGGTATACTACCCATAGCCCTTAGCTTCCTGTTAGTTGGGCAACTGAGCAGCTGTTGACTACACAACATCATGCTTCAGCCACTTACATTTGGATCTTACATTTGTCAGAAATCACAGGAATAAGCAGCAATAAGAGCAGTCAGGTCTCTCATGCTCAGGGAGAGCAGTAAGGCAGGATCAGCCCAGCTCAGCAAAAGCAGAAAGAGAAGACCCTGCAATTCTGCTGCAGTGAAAATTATTACCCTTGAAGTACTCTCAGGCATTTCAAAAAGCATCAGAAACCCTCACAAACACATTCATTAGTAGCTCTGAAAATTACTATGGTCAGAAGACTGGAAAATGGCAACATACCACCTAGGAAAAAGAGAAAAAAAAAAAAAAGGAAATGACAGGCCAATATTCCCAGAAATATTCAAACAGATCATTTGTTAGCTCAGCACAGTGAGTAACAGTGTACTTCCTAAATGGAAACCACATCAAAATGATTTAACTGGTCACAATACAGTCTGACAAACCATTGCGCTTCTTAAACTGGTTAAATACTCTCTGCATAAAATTATAACCACAGACTTCTGTAAATTAAAATAATAATTATCACACAGAATGCTCTGTGTTACTTTTAAACAATGCATCAGTTGGGATCACCTATGCCCTAATGAAAATACTGAGTGCTGCTGGTTTTCAGAGCTTTCAAAGAGAATGGGGACCTATTAAAATCGGCAAATTACATTAAAATAGGAGAGGCAGGAGTATGAAGGAGGGCAAGGCTGAAATTTGAAGAGACAGAAATCGCCTGGAAAGAACAAGGTACACTTCAGTGAAACAAATACAATTCCTGCACTTGAGAAATGCAGGCACAAATTCACAAACACACAACACAAAGCAACCTGTCAGACTGCAGGAGAATGTTTAAGAACTACACTGAGACCAACAGCAGCTAACTAGCAGCCAGTAATGTCACACTTCAAGGAAAAGAAATGAAGAAAAGCAAATAACTGCAGCCTAGACATATAAACAACACTATTTGTCCTAAATCATTCAAAATAGCTCTCCACTCACTACTGCTCCATTAGGAAACAGAATCCAGGCCAAGGGTCTACAAGTCAAGGAGGCTGGCAAACCTCACTGCCTAGAGTAAAGGAAAAAGAAAGGTGTTATTTTTCTTGGTTTTGCATGACAGTGAGTAGAAAGCTGTTCTCCACTGTCATGTAAAAATGAGATACTAGAAGTGAAGGGAAATGGAGAATTGGTATTTTATACATTGTAGAGAAAGAAAGATTCCACATGTCACTGGGAATGGAAAGGCCAAGTTTCAGTCCTGTCCTAGTGCAGCTTTCCATGTCCTCTCTTTAAGACTGTCTGTCAGTTTCTAACAGTGCTTCACAGCCTGGGAACTGGCAGTTATACTCTGTCACTGTATATTAGCGGCTTTCCAAATTCTAGATGATCTGCCAATACCCTCTGGGAAAAGAGAGTTCTCTTAGCCCAGACCACATTAGTGACCCACTGAGAACTATGTTATTTCTAACACCATACCGTTGTCACAGCAAAAAAGCTTTCAGTGAAAATATTCATCACAATTAAATCCAAGCACCTATCGCTCTAGCTTCATGTGAAGTGGGAATTGTAAATAGAAACTAAACCCATGTTTTCTGAGTTCCCAACAGCATCTCATGAATTTAAACTTCTCAGGCAGAAAAGTTCATACTCATTTCCCTTTTACTCAGCTCACAGTAATGAATGCTTGAACACTGGCTGCTGAACTCATAAGAATATAATAAATTCACAGCTCAGATTTCAGAGAGGTCCATATGCATGTATAACCTCACTTCCATTAAAGCAAGAAAAGTAACACGAAAAACAGCTTCCACGTCCAGAAGAGTCATAGATAAAATTAAAGCTTTAAGGAACCCAGGATGGTCCATTTGTGTTTTGGGTCCAATGCCTTGATTCCCTTATTTGTTCTTCTGCATCTCCTGGTTTCAATAACCCTCCTCTGCCCAACTGCAATGAAATAGAGCCAGGTATATAGCCTGATGCAATTCAACAGGTATTGACATTGTGAACTTCTGAACCCCAGGGAAACAGCAACAGGTTGCATACACACCTGGAAGTGGCTATTCCTTTCTATGGAATTCTTCTTCTTTTCTAGGATGAATGACCAGGCTTTTGTCTTGCTGTAGTCTTTTAGGAAACAAAAAAAAAAAATAATTTTCATAGATTCTGTCTTCTCTTACCCTCCAAATGAACCCAATAGATTCACAAAGGACTTTTTTGTTTGTTTTAAACTAAACTCAAATAACAAAGCAGTGGAAGAACACTGTAAAAATTAAAAGTATTTTGTCATGGCTCCTAGCCAGATTTCTGCAGGAAACTGAAATCAGTAATAAGCAAAATTAATGCACTCAGAAAAGAGCAAGATTTCTTGCAAAACATTTTTAAAATAGCACTAAGAAGGAAGGAGGAAGATGGAAAATCTCATAGATCAGGGTACTGCCACGGTACTTTCAGGGACCTGGGTCATGGGCAAATACCCTGCCCCATTGACAGTGAGAGGATTAGTACCACACACACACGCATGCCAAGGAATTGATTAAGCTTCCCTTTCAGAAAGCAAGCTTTTAGTATTAGGACCTTCAAAACACAGAAAAAATCCACCCTTGGAAGCTGTACTAGGGAACTAATTCAGAGAACAGCAGTAAAGCAATAGCTAGACAGATGAGACAACGCAGTATGTGCTGTTTATGTAAATACACTTGACTAAGAAGCAAAACGAACCGCAACAAAGCAAGATTCCTTACATCATTCTGCTGTACCGCACCAGGCTTTAACAAAACACAGCTAATTCTGTATGTTAACAAAAACTGCAAAGTTGAAAGGATCCAATCCCGCCCCTGTGGGAGAGTGTGAGCAGACACATAAAATGCACCCCTCTCGTTTGGGTCAGTTAAGTTTTGCTTACGGCGAGAAGAGAGCGCAGCCGCCTGCAGGCACCCTGCTAAGGGCACAGTCAACCCTGCCTAGGTATGCAGGCACACATCGCAGGGGAGGAAACTCAAGACATAGCAGCAGATGGCTTCACTTGAACATGTGGTGGTAGCATGGGGATTTGAATCCCCTTCCCTCTTGGCTAGATCAGCAATTTTTATATAGCAATTACTCATACATAAATTCTACAAAAGTATTTCCTAACGGCATTTCATTTGGAATGACGATCAAAAGTGTATGTTTTTGGAAAGCCTTCTTGCCGGGAAAGTCAGAAAGAAAACCAGTTTGTGGCAACACCACACAGCCGCTTTCCCCGAGGAAAGAAACACGACTGCGCCCAGGTAAGTCAAGATTGCACTTCACCACGTCGCCCTCGGAACCGCGGACACACTGAACTTACCTCAGGGGGCGTCCCCGGCCACGCCCAGCGCCAAAACCCACCCCACGCGGGGTGGCCCTCCCACCTTTCGCTTTCGGGCCGCTGTGGCGCCCGCCCCCCGCCCTGACTGACACTGCGGGGCACCACTGACCGCGCGGCGCCACGGAGCAGCTGGCGATGGTGCGGCGAGGGGCGCCCTGGCCGCGCGGGGAGTGAGCTGCACGGACGGTCTGGCACTGTCATGAAGGAGGTGGCGGTGGGCGAAGAGGATGAGGAAGTGTTGCGGGACTATCTGGCGTACTACACGGCTCGAGGGGCGGAGGGGGAGCTGGTGGTGTGCGATGAAGCCTCCTTGAAGGCGAGGGCCCGACGGCTGCTGGGACCGCGGCGGCGCGGCGCCCTGGACGTGCGCTGCATGGCGGAGCGGTGTCGAGGGGTCCGCGGCGATCGGGGCGGCAGCGTCCTCAGCGACCTGCGCAAGGCGCTGGAGGTGCTGGAGCTGCTGTGCGTCAACCTGCTGCTCTCCCCGTGGCGGAAAGAGATCAGGTCGCTGAAGGTAGGGGAACGCTGTAGGGCTCGGGCATGGGGGCAGCCATCCACCGGGGCAGCTGCTCCGGCCTCGGGTTCTGCCGGCCGCGGCCTTCCGAGGCCTCCCCAGGCCTGTGGCGCAGAAGGCACGGCGGCAGCCCCCGCGCTCCGGGAGCCAGGGGCAGGATTTAAGGAACCCATTTAGAACGGGTTAGGAGCGCCCTGGTGTTCGTTTTCTTTGCAGTCTTGTCCACGCTGAAGGCGGGCCTTCGCGGGCCTTCCCGGAAGCGCTGGGCACTGCGGGGGCTTGCAGAGACCTTCTTTTATTGCGACACGGTGGAGAAGTAAAAAGATGCCATGAAAGGCTTAAACTCTCAACAGTCTGAGTGTTAACCTTAATTTCCTTATAAGGAGGGAATGCTTTTTAATATTAGTTACCACTTTTATGAACAGTTTGATGCCAAAGGCCAGATGAGCCAGTGTCTCTTCGAGCCAGAGATTTTACAAACTGCCATTGCCCTACCTCTGGTGACTGCAGCTGGTCAAGTGGATAGGAAAACCCCCTTTGAAAGAGGAAATGCCATTGGTTCTGGCAGCAAAGTGGTCAAGGTCACCCTGCTTCCGTAATACACTGAACACCTCTTTTTGCCCAGAAAAGACATCAGTCTTAAACACATGCAGAATCTACTGTATTTAGACAGAATCCCTGAAGACTCATGAACCAAATTTACTTCCCTTTCTACAACCACAGGTGCTGGTAAGGAAAAAACACCTCTTCTTGTTGCCCATTAGGTCCAATTTGCACGTTCAAACAGCTTTTACTGTAGTGATAGGACAAGGGGTAATGGGTTAATACTTAAACAGGGGAAGTTTAGATTGGATATAAGGAGGAAATTCTTTCCTGTTAGGGTGGTGAGGCACTGGAATAGGTTGCCCAGGGTGGTTGTGAATGCTTCATCCCTGGCAGTGTTCAAGACCAGGTTGGATGAAGCCTTGGGTGATACGGTTTACAGCGAGGTGTCCCTGCCCATGGCAGGGGGTTGGAACTGTATGATATTAAGGTCTTTTCCAACCCTAACTATTCTATGATTCTGTGATTCTATAAAATGGTATTATTCATGTCTCTAAAACAGGGCAAAGCATAAGGTAGGTCTACAGCTCATGGACTCAGCTTTTGTAACACAAGGATCCCAGGCTTCATTGAAAAATCTGATGACCACTGGACGTAATCCAGAGTGCAGGATGGCCTGCTGAAGGCCTGAAATAATTCTACTGCAAGGCACAAGTTAGAGAATAGCCAGTATCTTGTGTACATTCAGGTCTGATAAGAAGTTGCTGGTCATATGTGGGATATTAGTTCACATTTCCAGTGTCTCACCTGCTCTGATATCACATCACACAGAGTAGTGCCTGCTCCATACTTTCCCTTGAGAAGGAATAGGGGCTGGGGAGTGAAAGGCACTGTTGACAAATCATCTGAGAATGGACTGAGGTGTAGTCCTACATTATAGTATGGTCTTTTGGGGGATCAGTTTTGTCCTCCCTCAAGCTTGTGCCTATGAGACCAATGCTTAGGTCTTAATCTAGGAAGTAGATAAATCAGTCTGAAGCTGGATGGCCTTAAAACAAGGTACCCTGATTCTGGAAATCTTGACATGCCTGCCTTCATCAGTTCTGTTCTAATTTCCCTGGAGTTGATCATGCTTAGGTCAGCATAGTCTCTCCTGTTGTAGTGTTTCAGACAAAACCAAAAACCACTTCTAGTTTACAAACCAGGCTTTGTGTCTGGGGTAGCTCCAAAACCGAGCAGGTGTTAACAGTTTTTTTAAATTGTTACACAGCAGCAGCATTTTATCCAAGTCATGTTTTGCAAGCAGCTTGTGCAAAGAGAGTGTGTTTTGGCAGTATTTCTGCTGGAATAGTCTTCCTTCCAAAAAGTGCTTTCAAAGAAATTGCAATTTAATCTGAGGGTAGTAAAGTTACAGCAGGAGTCTGAATCATGGGAAAAAAAAAAAAAAACAAAAAGTTACAGTCATCTCATCAGTTGAGAAATACAATCAACAGTGAGTGCACTGTGTCTTTCTTTAGGAAAAGATTAGATCTCAGGAATTTATTCTATGGCTTTTTGATTAAAAATCTTTCATTCTTCCCTAGAGCACATAAGGCTTATTTCTGAGTTCCTCTGGTTTGACTAAAATGATTTTGTTCGTCTATTCCTTTTTGAATATTGATGGTCTTAGCCAGTATCTCAGCAGCTTTAAACTGGTGTAACTTCTCTGAAGTTAATGTGCTTTATGTAGCAAAGCTATAATGCTTGAGAATCTGACAAAATAGTGCTGTTAGAAAAGCCCAACTCACTTTGATTGAAAATTCAGACTTTAAGGAACATAGGCTTTTTAAAGTTTTAAGTAATTTTTGAACTACTTTTGATTTTGAGGAAGTCTTTCAGGCTTCCTTCCTCTCCACACTCCCCCAGTGTTCATCTGTTTTTTCCATGTTGCTTTCTGTTTCAGACATTCACCGGTAATTTTGTCTACTATATTCAATCTGTGCTCCCAGATGACATTGTAAAAACAGTACTGGAGAAAATAGGTTACATTGCAACAACAGCAACAGAGTTTTCACTTGTCAAAAAGAGGAACAATGAAGAAACAAAACAGACTGCATTTGAAATATTCCTGGCAAGAATTGAGTGTGAAACCATCCTCGAAATGACAAATGAAAAAAAACATGGCAATTTGGAGGAGACCTTACAGAAGAGAACACAAATGCACCAGCATCATAGAAATAAAGACAGAGAAGATCAGACACCCCAGAGAGAAGACACTGAAAATCTAGAAAATAAAGAAAACAGTGAGACCTCTTTGTGCCTTGCTACTCAACAGAAATCTTCATCTACTAGTGATACATCTTGTGAAGCTGTTGGGGATCTGAAGATCAAAGATGATGTGCCTCAGTTAGCAGTTGCTCAGTCCACTAACAGGCTTCAGGAACACCAAGGAGAAATCATTAACACTGTACGTTTGCCAGGCAAATGCTCAGACAGCGAGGACTTCTTTATCAAATATAGTGACATTGTGATAAGACGAACACCTATTTTCAGTGAGAATCTTTCTCCAAAACCTTTTGAAAAAAAGCCAAGAGCCAGTCTAAGTGAAGAATGTGTTTTGGCAGTCACTGCAGAGTCAGCTGCAAATGAGATCAGGCCTGTGCCACTCTCACCAGGAGCAAGTGGTCCACCAGCCTTTGCAGTATTTGCTGATAGCTCTTGTGACAGTAGAACCACTTTGGAGTACCAAGCTGAAGAAGTCCCTGAAGGATCAATTGAAGCAGAAATTAATGATGCCATAAATTGCATAGACCCGGACCCTGCAGATGAACCCAATGAGCTGAAGTCTCTGCCATACAAGGACACTGCATCTGTCAAAAACTGCAGTGTCCCTAGGGAAGAGGAAATCTGTGAGCTGTCTTTAACCTTCACAAAACTACAAATCAAGGACACTCAGAAAGACCTTATGTATCCAGTAGAGGAAACTGGGCAACCTGAGTCAGTATCATATGCAAGTACAAGTGACAGGCATGTAAGAGAATTTAATCACTCCAAAATAAACCATACATTTCTGACTAATGCTCAGATTCAAAACAGAGCAGCTGCACATACTGAGCTGTCTTCAGATCTGTGCTGTTCTACTCGGAATGTGGAGGATTCCACTACTGGTTCTGATAGCAAAAGGCTATTAATGGATACTCCTAATGCGCATACAGCTTCTGCGTGCTTCAGACACATTAGAGAGCCCCCTAACCTCACCTACATTCCACCACAAAGTATTGATGTTCGGTCTTCACACATAAGAAGGACCAGCACAGAGGGCAGAAGGAGCTTCTTGCAGCCTGAATGTGACTCTCCCAAATCCAGTGAAGTAAAGCTGGAGAACTGTGATTCAAAAGTAAATGAAATCCAGGAGCCTTATGTCATTATTGACAAAACTGACCAAGGAATGTTATGCCATCATACTTGAGTCTACCAGTGCTTCTGTTTGTAATCTGCCTGGGTTTTTTCCTCTCACTTGTGGCCTTGATCATGTTTTCAGTGAGGTAATTAGCTTTGTGAAAACAGTTTACAGACCTATTTCTGAAGTATTCTTCAAGTATAGCATGCTGTACAATGACAGAAATAGGAACAGCTAAGTGTTTCTAAGTTGCAAGACCCACTTTATAGTTTTACAAATGCTGTACTGGAGTGCACTTCTGTTAACTCGTTACACTCCCATGAAGCTGTGCTCTGAGCTGATTATATTCCTGTTTTCAGTTGAAAATAAGTTCATAAAGTTCTATAACATTCCTTTAGGTTTAACAAAGGAAACAGCCTTGTGAACCGTTCCAGTTTTCTAGAGGCAGTAATCTGTTTTGCAGGTTCTTTAGACCTGTCTCCACTCATTACCAAAATTTTTTGTGGCTACCACCACAAATGTCAGAAGCACTGAGCATCGTAGTTGTTCACTGCTACTGGAAGAGGGAGATCCAGCTACTGCTGTCACTTCCTTCACCCCTCTTCCTGCCACTTTGTTCTGCACCAGCTCTGGATTTTATTTCTCTGTAACTGGACTTTTCTGTGAGCCAGTTCATTTTGCTTAAATGAAGGGGGAAAACTGCCATTCTCTTGGCAGGAGAAAAATGAGATCGGAGAAGGGTCGCAGTGCATGTTAGCGCTGGGATAAGGGCTATTCTCAGGTGGGAGTGCTGTGTGAAAAGCTTTGTGCTGAAAAGGTAGCCGGGAGTATTAGATCAGATCATCTGTAAGCTAGAGTCCCAGTGCTAAGAACCTCTGTTGTACACCACATTTAATTAAGTTCAGAAAGGCACACAGTCACTGGTACTGTATTTCTGCAGTCTTCAATGTGTGTTTATACACTTGCTACCTAGGAAGACAGTTTAATACTGCTTGAAGTAACTTCCAGTAGCACTTCAATGGTTTTGTTTCATGTATAAAGTAGTTAGCTGGAATTGTTTATAATTGGCTTTCATCCCCCAGAAATTCAAAGAGGAGCATGTGGGTTACACTAGAAAAACCTCAAGAGCAAAAAAGTAAAGCTGTTTTTTGAACATTTAATTGTTGAGGTCCCCACATCACTTGATTCCAGCAGTGGAGGAGGAATAAAATTTTGACCAAAGCAACATCAAGTGATAGGACTGCCTTCAGCTTTGGGTGGGGTTGGGAGAAACAGGTATTATTAACATGGACATATAAATTAATACTTCTGTTCTGGGTCTGGCTGGGATTCAGATAGCTTTCTTCACAGCAGCTCCTGGAGTGGTATGTTTAGAATTTGTGGCTCAACTGTTGATAATACACCAGTGTTTTGGCTATTGCTAAGGAGTTCTTGCAGTGTCACAGCCTTTTCTTCTTCTAACTACACCCTGTGATGAGTAACTGTGCAGCTGAGCTGAACTGGCCAAAGGGCTATACCATACCATGTAACAGCATCATGCTTGGCAGTAAAACTGGGGTGGCAGAAGAAGGTGTGAGTTTTGTCTACCAAGGTGGCCATTGCTCAGAGGCTGGCAAGGCACTAGTCTACTTGTGGGAGGTGGCAAGTTACTGCCATTGCATCACTTGGGTTTCCCCCGCCCCCCTGCCCCTTTCTTTTGGTTCTTAAACCTCTGTCTCAACCAAAAAGCTCTCTTGATCTTGCTCTTCCTAGTCTCCCCTGTTGTTGGGGGAAGCAAGCAGCCTCCTAGCTCTTCTTTCAAGAACCTATCCTTTCTATTTTGGTTTTATAAAACCGTGTTTTTTCCCTGTGGGGATTATTAAAATTATATGTTTTATTGTCTACCTTCATAGGAAGAGCCGCTATGCACTTAAGTCTTCTGGATATTTTTATGTGAGTTTGTTATTCAAAGAATCACAGAATGGTTTGGGTTGGAACAGACTTTAAGATCATCTAGTTTCAACCACCCTGTCATGGGCAGGGATACCTCACACACTCAAGCCATTTCCAGCCTGGCCTTGAACACCAGGGTGGGGCAGCCAGAGCTTCTCTGGGCAACCTGTTCCAGTGCCTTACTATCTTCAGAGTAAAGAATTTCTTTCTTGCTGCTAAAACACCTTTAACTTCTCTTCTGGTACAAATGGTAGAATTTTAAGGTCGTGTACTAGAAACTCCTGTTGCATTTGCAAATGATTTACAGTGAAAGCTGAAGAGTGAAGAGAAGGGATTTGAAAACCAGCTGAAACAAAAGATAAGTTGTATTTAATAGGCAGCAGTCCTTTGTGCAGCTGCTTCCACATGAGTAAGGTAGGTTTAAAATCCTAGTTATAATACAGTCAGACCTGAGGGACAGGTAAAAGGGTAAAATAAGATTTCTGGTAAGGTAAAATAAGACTTCTGACCAGCCAGTGCCCTTCTGTCCTATTGGTAGTAACCACTGCACCTCTCCTTGGCTAATAAGTGAATAAGAGCAACTGCTAAGGTAGTGCTGCTAGACAGCAAGAGAGCTGCCTGGGGCCCTTTCTAAAGAAAGGCGGTTTGTGTTTCTAAAATATGTGTCTCTCCTCTGGTGAGCTGTCAATTTCAGTTCTGCTACAGCTGGTCCTGACTGAATTGAATGGGGATTTACTGATTGATTGGATGTCTTTCCATCACAGAGACTCTAGGCCAATTCTGTTCCAAATGTGTACGCTACACACAACCACTCTGAATAGCTCAGATCTCCCAAGCATTGAATTAGAATAATTCTCCTTCAATGAGCATAAAGAGCTCAGGCAGCAGACCTGGTAGCTGGGTTGTAGTCACTCACAGCCTCTCCCTTCTGGATCTCTTACAACAGTCATTTTTCTTCCCCTTAGCATTAATATCACACATAGACCCTTGCCTGTCTGGACTTGTCCTTAGGGTGCTTAAGGAGCAAAGCTTGGTTTTGGAACAAACTTTGTTGGTTTTAAGCCAAGAATGGAAACCAAATTTCAGTGTTAAGACAGAAGAGGGGAAAAAAAACAAGATGGAAAAAGACTTAAGGCTGTGTTTCTCCTTAGTAATGCCACTCAGTAGGAACTAATGTAGTAACTGCTAGGTTTTGCTCTAAAACTAAACTTTTCATCTTCAAAAAGGCATGTAACTTTCTCTCAGCCCCCTCAAATGCTGGGGGTGAAAAAACACCATAATTCTGACCCAGCTTCTTCCTGCTTTAGAAATGCACAACGTTTACCTGAACCTCCACACGTTACAGGAAGGACTGGATTCTCCATGAAACAGGACAGTAACTTGCTAGGACAGCCATTATTCAGGAGAGTAACAAGAGCTTAGGTCTGAATCTTTAGAACAACGGACATCAGAATACCTAGCACTTCTTACACTCTGCAGGAGGAGGTGCACTGAAGAGAGATGCTGGATTGTTCCCTGGCATTGGCAGTGGTCTGTGTGGTAATTACACTGGTGAAAGCAATTTTTGAGGTTTCTCACAGCCTACAGTTTTGGACAGTCAGTTCTGAAAAGTCTGATCAAATAATGAGTATCTCCTGAGCCTGCTTCTCATGCTGGAAGAAAGGACACGAAAGGCCACACTAAGAGAGTGCAAATATTAAATAGTATTATTTCTGGCAGTCTGTCTTACTTGAAATCGGCTTATATACTGCTCCCAGATGTTACTCATCTGCTAAGACACCCTGACCGGGACAAAGTCTGGAGAAAACATCTCTTCAGGCTAAAGTATGTAATAAAAGGCAATACAGGAGGAGATAACCACTTTCACACTTAGATGTGGAACTCATTGTGACAAAAGTAATTAAAACCCATAATTTTTACTGAAGTATTCTGACGATATACCCTGGAATAGCCAAAATGCATGCAAAACCAGCTATGTGTGGCTCAGTCTACAAGCATAGGCTATATCCAAACTACTGAGACAAACGGGCACAAAAAATTACAAAATGGAATATAGAAACCTTTAGAAACAGTTTTAAGTAATGTTAAGTTTGATGGCTTTGTAACAGTAGCAATGGGAAATTACTGAGGTGCATTATACATGGAGAAAAAAAATAAGAGTATAGCTAGAGAACATACAATTCTCACAAGATAAATTGTTATAGTTGGCATAGCTTTAAGAAAAAAACAGTCTAGAAGAACAGGACACAGGGATAAGGAGTATCTGGAAACTGCAGGTGTCCAGGATGGGCTACAGTTAAACTAACTGGTAAGTAGGACAGGAGGATTATGATGTCTGTGGTGCTAACGAACCAATTAAACTGGTATAAGCATCTACTGCGCGTGCTTCAAAGACTGCCAGAAGTGATGAAGATTGTTGGAAGAAGTAAACGACCCTCAGAGACCACCACCACAATTCTGTACGCATGCGGGGAACTCTCTGGAAAATTATGTAATCCATATGTAGCCTCATGAATATGTATGTATGCCCAGGGACTATATAAGGGTGGCTTGTGTAGCAATACGGGGACACACGTTAGGAGGAGCTATCCCCTGTGTCTCCTGGCGCCACAATAAAGAATACCTGCTTGTCAGCTTGAAAACTTTGTTGGCAAGTGTGTTCCTGGAGTTTTCTCCGAATCACTACAGAGTAAATTTAAAAAGCCAAGAGCAGTATCAGGTTGTTTATGTTCTGTGATCCATTCCACTGGGAATGACGGCCAGTTTGCCTACAGAAAGGAGTACTTTTGCAACATGCTACCTCGTCACTGCTTCTTAGTTACAAAAGAAACAAAATACGTATCAGGCTAATACTGATTACCCTTTTTTCCTTCTTGTCATCAATCGAGAGATTTCAAGGCAGAAAAGCAAATAAATTCGAGATTCCAGGCTTTAGAACAGTTGTGATTACTGAAGTATTTCAGTATACATCTACAGCAGACAGCAAACATTTTAAATTTATGATGTAACAGGAAACCTGTTTGGTTTTTGTTCCCAGTTTTCATTAAATACCCCAACCTTCCTGAATATGAAAATCTATACACAAAAATACTAGATATCAAAACAAAATAAACGTGCTATCTGTAGCCATTGCATCTGTTTTTTTAATAAGTTACATAAATTATCCATCTATATTCCATTATAGCTGTGAATATCAGTAACCTCCATCCACACTACTGGTTTGATACAGTAAATGGGATGGGGGATCTAACCAAGACTCATAGAGGAAACAGTGACATTCTTCGTACTATAAGATAATCTCTACAAAACAATAGAACTGTTTGCAAAATATACATCCTAGGCTAATACAACCCATAATGAAATTACAATCAAAAACAAACTGCAGGTGACTGAACTTCAAATTTATAAAACTATTTCCAAAGAAACAGTTCTTTTGGTCACTTAAGAGAAGAAAAAATGATGAACGTTTAATCATTTAAAGAATGATTACAATCCCCTAACAAATAAGCTTCAATAAGATAAACTTAACACACAAAATCCTATGTTTAAGCTAAAATTCTTAGGACTTACAACAGAACAACAGAATGGCAGCACTTGGTTCACAAGCTTTAGTATACTAATATAGTACTTCACTAGGAAATGCTCTCTCAGTGCAGTAGTTATTATTAAGTTGTACAGATTTGGCAGGGGAGGGGGAGGAGAGGGGGAAATGGAAATATGGCAATAACAAGACAAGAACTGCATTTCCTGACTTGGAAAGCAATCATTTCAATACAACGCTTTTTAGACATACCACAAAAACAGCTCTCACAAAACTAAAATGAAAGCAGTGAAGTGACTTCTGAAAGTGACACCATCAGATACTGTTCAAAATCAGGTGAACAGGGAAAAGCCACATAACTGAAAATTTGTATTCTCCAACAAGTTACAGACAGATGTCTGCAGTCAGTTAGTCCTTTGATCACTTAAGTCCTGGATGTTAGCCATTTTCAGAAGCATTCACTACAAAGGCATGACAGATGCTCAACTGTGTAAGTGTTTTTAAGCACTGCTAACCATGCTTGCTATAATTAAACCAACCAGAACTATTACAGAAAAAAAAAAAAATACATATACACACTGTACTTCAGGAATCGTTCCCCTCAAACAGAAAAAGTAACACGAAAACTACTGCATTAAAAGGATTATCTTGAAAACAACACTGAGGTCAAACAGAAATTAAGGGCAACTCAACACTTTAACTAACAATGAAATCCCCACTATTTTTCTCTGCTGTCAAGTACCTGTAAGTCACAATAAACTGATCAAGATTATCAACCCAGACAACCATCTGTATTTTTCCTTGTTAAAAAAAAAAAAAAAAAACAAACTGAAGAATAGTCAAGGGATCAATTAACCCTAGGATTTTTATAACCATTTTAAAAGAACAACAAACACACTTCTATTTTAACTACTCTTAACTAAGCCATAGCAGGGCCAGTGATTCCATGAGCACCAGACAGAAATTAGCCTTTTTAAAAAAAAAGCCTCAGAGCTACTCTGCAATCACTTCTGAAAACTTACGCTTTTTTTGCCACTGAATTCAGTGGGACTATACTACTGCATAGTCATCTTCAGAACAACTATGTTGTGATTTCATGCAAAGCAGAAGAAATTTACTGAATTCAATGAAACTGCACTAGCATAGGTAGGATTAGACTAAGACCCCCTATTTCAACCTGAAAAAACCTATTTAACAAAGCTACTTTAACTTGATGCTTTAACTCGAAACTTCATTTGCTTCCACTAATAATAAAAAAGGACATCCCACTTCTTGTATGGAACTGTTTCTTTCAAATTATAGAGTTGTCTTTGGGGATCAAAAAAGAAGAATATTTGGTTACTTATAGGAAGCAGCAATGAAGTGGTAAATGGGAGAAAACTGACATTTTAGCTGAGTAAAACTGACACAGTAAAGCTGATGGAGAACCTGAAAACATGAAAGAGAATTAACTTATACCCTGTTTATGACTTGTATCTGAACATTTCACAGCACTAAGTCCACTGAACATTCCACAAAGTGTAATTCAAAAGCAAACCCCATTATATTTAGAAATATTTATAATACTCAAAATTGCCCTTAAAGCAGACTTCATAAACATGTTTTTTAAAATACAGCAACTGCAGACTTCTATAAATGGTGTTGCATATTAGATGGGTTTAGTATCTGGTCCCTGTTTTCTTCATACTTCTCTATCATTTTCTGCATGTCATGATCAGCTCCAATAACCTTGAAAAGAAGAAAATAAGCATTAGAAATAATTTACACCATAAAACATGATTAGTTTTGAGCAAAACAGAACAGGACTACAACTGATGCCAAAGAGATACACTCCTAGAGATCTGTCCAGTTAGCATTCTGCTCAGAATTGGGCATTCATTGAAAAGCTACACATCTGATCCTGCAAATAATCATAGTGAACAGACCCTTAAATTCCAAAGTGACTGAAGACTAGACTTCCATGCTATACATTATGGATAGCTATAAACATTTTTCTGAAGTTTTCATTCTCCAAAGGTTATTAGTAAAGCAGATATAGTTACTTTTGCCACTAAATAACACTTGATATCTGAAGAATACAACCTTCCATATGCGTTAACTGTTTATAATTTAAATAATACTCACAAGCACTGGGCAGGAAACTTCAAATAGTGTATGTTTAATGAGCCACTCTTCATAGAGCTGATGAATAGCTTCAAAATACTCCTAAAAAAGTCATTCAAATAACACATAAGCCCAGGGAAGAAACACACATTGCAATTTTTATACCTTTGGTAAGTAGTGAAGAACTATATGTAAAAGCCTGTATCAGATATTTCCACTAGCAAAAATAAAAAGCATCACAAGGTTTCTGAGAAAAATTAACTTCCAGTATAAGGTTTCACACCATGAAGAACCTCAAAGACACAGCTTACAGGAGTACAGGGCTCTCAGCTCCTTTTAAGATCAAGAAACTTATTTCTCTCCAAGAGGTACAGTGTCGGTCAAGATTTTACAGAGAAATGTACAACAAAGAGAAGGCCAAAAAGGGCAAGACTGCAAAGAATATGTACTGAAGGCATTTTCTGTATCAATGTATTTCCTTAAAATCCCCAATCACTTCTTCCTAACTGACTCAATTTCCTCTAAAAGCACTTCTGCCTTTCATCAACTATTAGTCTGGGTTTTTTTTAAAGGAGACCAATTAACATTTTTATTAATAATTTTTCCCCCACACTCCTCAGCAGAGCTGCAAAGTAACACAATGTCTCCTCAAATCCATTACAGCAAGGATTATCCTCCAACGCAAAACTTTACATGGCCCAAAATTTAGCTCTTTGCATGTATCTTCAGTTGACAATTGCTTCTACTGAACTACCTGACACTGGAGAAACAGAAGACCTACTGTGGACTGCAAAGGTAACTACGTTTATTTCTAGTTAGGCTTCTTGTTTAATGAAGGGACATTCTGTAAACTGTGACACCGAAAGTGATCATTCAGTTACCAGTTTATTTTAAAGCAGATTCCCACACTAACAATTTTCAAGAAGTTTCTTCTTTACAGACACAAGCAGAGACTCTTTTCATCCATAAACATCCTGGTAACAGCAGACCACAGAAAATGCCCACATAGATCTTTAGTATCTGCACGCACGGGTATCTGTGCTTCAGCTGGGTGCTTTTATGCCATTTAATGATACTAAAGCAACTGCTTTTTTTACATCTTAGAGAAGATTAACAGTAGATTAATACTGCACCTACACAGTCAGATATGGTACACATCACTAAAACAAAACACTTGAGAAAGTCAGTGTGCATTTTTTTTTTTTTTTTTTTAATAGAGTTAGTTTTAGTTAGAAGTTTTAGTTTGCAGTGGAAACAGCTGCACCACATTTTGGCAGTACACTCAGGAAGTGATTTTAGTATTTAGATTGGAATAATTATGGTTCTAACGCTCATTGTAACCACGTATATTGAAGGAACTCCTTACCAGAGGAATGAGCTTTTCCTCTTCTCTGCATCTTCTCTTTAACCTCTCATAACAAACTTCAGGAGAAGTCTGCAAATAAACTGTCACGACAAAAATTATAGTTATGTTCATGTGATCAGCTTTAAAAGCAAAGAAACTTCAGGGAAGAATCCTGACTTGGGTACCATCACTGAACCTCCCCTTTGGCATTACTGTTAATCAATCCATGAACCATCCACTAATTCATGCTGTTGTGATGCCACACACTGCAAGCACCATTATATTGAATAATGTGATTATTTATGAACCAAAAAACAAGAATTATTTTTTCTCCCAGGAAGGAAACCCATCCACAAACATGCTCCTCCAGATCCCATCAGAATTTTACCTATCAAATCAACCGAAACATCAGTGTTGTTCTGGATCCAGTCAAACCATTCACTTAGGACAACATAATCCACCTCTGGCATTTTTCCGCTGAAAAAATATAAAAGCCACCACTCACTGAACAGCACACACAGATCAAACCTAAACTAATTTTTTTTTCACCTGACTAGAATTACTCCAAATTCACCATACGTGAAATGAAAACATGAGCAATATTACGCCCGCCCAAACTGAAAGCTTCACAAATCATAGTTTATACAATAAAAAGACCAAATCTTTTTGCTTAAACAAAAACAAACAAACAAAAAGCACAAAACAAAAAAAACCTCACTAACACAATGTTTCTATTTTTAACAGTTACAAACATTATTTTCATTAACAGTTAAGAAATTATTATCTGGTGACTAAGAAGAAAAACATGACTCACACTGACATTTATACAAGAACAACAAATGAGTGTCAATGGTATTTACTGCTTGAGTTCTTTACATGAAGATCATTTCAAACAGATCTGAGCTACTGGAGTGACTGTCACAAAACCAGAAAGGCTTGATTTAAACAGAACAGCACTGACAATTCATTGCAGGAGCCACAGTAAAGACCAGTGAAAAATAATGATATCAGGTAAACAAAATTTACTCCAACTGTAAAAAATACTTGTGGAAAGAGTAGTGAAATATTCAACATGCTTAATGTGAACTCAGTATTGAGACAAGCATAGACAATATTGGAGACAACTGTCACAGAGTTAGTAAGAATAATAAAAAACCCAACTTAGGTAAAAGGGAGTCTAGAGAGGATGTATTAAGAATCAGTAATTAAAAATGAGAATGAGATTGCAGTACACTTCCACTGCGTACAGACTGGGATAAATGATGTCTCTAAAGTTTGCCTCCCATCTCACAGTGTTTCTCTCAACTTTCAAATCAGTTCCAGTAACAGACTAGCAGCTTATGTAGCATGGATACCACCTTGTGGCATGCAGCCATTCTCCCTGGGGGGCAAGAAACTGGTTTTGTCCCTGAAAACCCCTGAAAAATCCATTAAAACAAGTCTGTTATATGCACTTCTCAACAGAAGCTCAGCATTATAAACAAAACAAAAACAAACAAACAAAAAAAACCACAAGCAAGCACTACTGATTACTGCACTATCTTAGTTGGTATGGAATGGGCGATTTATACATCAGACAGGTAATAAATGCTTTATCTATTTCAGGCCACAGTCTTCTCTCACAGTCAGGCCTGATTGCTCTGCCTCTGGCCCAAGCACACCTGGGGGCAAGGACCCAATTCAGGAGGCAACATTTAGAGACAAACAGCTCTTGTGCTTTCTTTACTCAGTGGCCTATAAGGTTTGCAGTTTATTTTGAGCCTAGGAATCCTGATTCTGAGCAATAGCATGGGACTCAATTTCCTGCTTGTCACTCAAGTTCCTGCTTGCACGGAATGCCAGTCCTGGATGCTGGGTTGGATAACGCTATGTAGTTGTCTCCTCCTACAGTGCTGTTCTATGTATCCTCATGCTTTTTTCCTATTCATTGTGTCTCTGATTTAAGCATTCAGAGAGCTGGAGTTTTTGCGTTCAGCTGGAGAAAAGATAATTTCAAGAAATGGTGTTCTGAATAGCAAGATGTTCTCTGTACACAAGAGCTCTTCTGAAGAAGGCTCTCGCCTGGCCCATTTATTCTACCAGTGGGTAGCACACACTGTACAAAACACACTGCCACTCCAACACAGAACTGACAGATCTCACACTCCACTTAGATTACCAAAGACATCATCAGTCAATTATATATATATTTAATTAATTCAAGAAAGTAAAGACTATATACTGTACCTTCGATACAAATTTTCTACAAAAATATATCTTGCACTGTGAACTGATCGCTCCATCATTCTTACGGGGGATATCTAGGAAATAAAACTTGACAATCTGCATTTTTCAGCATGTTTGTTTCTTTTCAGGCTTCTACTGCACATCATGTCCTTTACACTATGAAATACACAACATTCTCAGTTCCTCCAGATCCTGTGATAAACAAATTTACTGAGAGGGTCAGAAGAACACAAAGCAGGTTTTCTTAATCTTCCTTATGGTCACTGGATTATTAACCACCTACAAAACGAATCTATTACTCATACGCGAGTTTCAAAGGTAAGTTTCAGCTGAGGTTAACTAGGAGTACATAAAAAAGCAGCAATCCATTTAGAATTTGCAGAGAGTCAGGAATGGTTGCTACCTGAATCATTGCCACCTTCAAGTGTGCTCCTGTGTCAACAGCACAGCCCTAACATCAGGATAACTGTACCAAGAAACAGAACTTTCTACGGAAGTAATTGCATCTGACAAACCACTGGCCTTAGTCAGTCTTGCATGTGTTCAAACAGTGCTTCATATGGAGAAGAGAGACTTCTCTGACACTCTCTGGCCCCTACAGAGCAAGGTAACCCTAGCATAGCTACTTCGAATCAGGTATTCTGCATGTTAATTATCATGCAACACTGCTCCAGCAAAGTTCAAGTGACAAAGGACAGCAAAGCTCAGACTGAAACACAGGGCAATCCCCAGAAATTTCTGAATGAACTTCTGTAGCAGAATGACATCTGTCTTGGAAAACACCTCATCCAAAAAGTTAATGATTATACATGCAGTATCACTATTGTGTGGTACTTTTGAAAGTCTGCCTTGACATAAACTCAGAAAATATAATACAAGAACAATCACCGAGATATCAGCATGCCACCTAGAATCAGATCTTGTAATCCGGGAATGGAAGATTTAGCACAGAATGTAACAAAAGATGTTTGAAGGAAAGAGAAATGAACTGATCTTGATGAAAAGGTAGCATGTGAAAGTAGATACAGAGTAACTAAAAAAAAAAATACAAGAAAAAAACGATGCAAACCATTTGGGAAAGAAAAAAAAAAGTATACAATTTAATGGAAGTGTTTTGGATAAACACAAGGCACTATGACTAAATTTGTGGTAGACAGGAGAGAGCAGCAGAATGAATACTAGCACTATCTTTAAGATTACCTAATGTTTCCCAAAGATCTGAGCTCAATTTACATAGATGCCAATTACAGATAGGACACTGATGTGTAATGACAGAAGGCATCTGTGTAAGTCTAGCTCGTAAGGCTGGTACTAAAAAAAGCGGTATTTGTTTGGGCAAGTGAAAGTTCTAAGCAGGCAGGAGGCAGATGTTTCACCCCTGGAGCATATGTTGAGTGTATCAACAATGCCTTTGCACTATAAAAATTCATACTGTCTGCAGGAAATAAGGAAAGAACACAAACAGCATGCTGACTTTTGGATACAAGGTTAAAAATATTTATTACTCATAATCACATCTAATTGTTTTTTTAAATAAAAATAAGTTTATTTACCATTGGTCTGGTATGCTGCTCCAGCATCGTAAGCTGTATGTAAGTCTGTAACGTTATCCCCCATCTTGATGCATCTTGGTACATTAAGCCCTGGGGTTAGAGATGGAAGTGAGAGAGGCAGACACTTTCGTTAGGTCAAACAGCAAAAAAAGTGAAGTTCAGTATTCGGTAAGCTTTTGCTCTACAACAGAACTGCTAAAAGAAGTGCACTGAAACACCTGACATCAGGTTTGACAAGAATTAAATATCAATTGCTCTCCACAACGCTGATGCAAGAGTTATGGTCCTGGTCCTTAGGATGCCTAAGTGGGGTGTTTGGAATGCTCTCTGAAGTCAACAGGAATTAGTTTCTGCACCTGGAATGGTCAGGACCAAGGTAGAGCTCATTTGAGACAGTTCAAATATGTTCAGTAATTAAAAAAAACCCAAACTTATCTGCTACTCTGTTCTTGCACACTGACAGACTCCCATTATACTGAGGCCATCCAGAAATGAATGTGAGTATGGTCTGGGCCTCAGAAAAGGTGTCTTTTAACACAGACACCTGTTCTTCCCAAATCATCCTCAAAGCAGTTCTTGTATCTTCCACTTCTTGATCACTGCAATTGCACACACATATACATTTACAAGCAACAGTCTATCCTGCAAAGCAGAGAAAAAGATCCGACTCAAAGCATCATTCATTGCCTGTTTTGCTGAGGTGACAAGCTTTAAGTGAGGAGCATGGCTTCGGTCCATAGACCTGACCTCCTCCTTTTCTCCCTACCCAAGATCAGAATGAGAGAACATTCTGAAGTGTGCAGATTGCTATGATAATGTGTGACACATCTAAGCATGCCCCATCCCTTTACTAATAAGAAGAGAGTAAAACATCAGCAGCTTCTAGTAGGGAGAACTTACTTTTCTGAAGGACCTATCCTATATATCAAATACATCAGCTGATACGCTGGAGGGAAGCAATGCCATCCAGAGGGACCTTGACATGCTTGTGAGGTGGGCTGATGCCAACCTCATGAAGTTTAACCATGCCAAGTGCAAGGTTCTACACCTGGGTTGGAGCAATCCCAGGCACAGCTACAGGCTGGGCAGAGAAGAGATTCAGAGCAGCCCTGCGGAGAAGGACTTGGGGGTGTTGGTCAATGAGAAAATGAACAAGAGCCGGCTTCAGTGTGTGCTCGCAGCCCAGAAAGCCAACTGTATCCTGGGCTGCATCAAAGGGAGTGTGACCAGCAGGTTGAAGGAGGTGATCCTGCCCCTTTATTCTGCTCTCATTGAGACCTCACTTGGAGTACTGTGTGCAGTTCTGGTGTCCTCAACATAAAAAGCACATGGAACTGTTGGAACAAGTCCAGAGGAGGGCCACAAGGATGATCAGGGGACTGGAGCAGATAGGCTGAGAAAGTTGGGGCTGTTCAGCCTTGAGAAGAGAAGGCTGTGTGGAGACCTCATAGCAGCCTTCCAGTATCTGAATGGGGCCTATAGGGATTCTGGGGATGGACTCTTCATTAGGGACTGTAGTGATAGGACAAGGGGTAATGGGTTAAAACTTAAAACAGGGGAAGTTTAGATTGGATATAAGGAGGAAATTCTTTCCTGTAAGGGTGGTGAGGCACTGGAATAGGTTGCCCAAGGAGGTTGTGAATGCTCCATCCCTGGCAGTGTTCAAGGCCAGGCTGGACGAGGCCTTGGGTGATATGGTTTAGAGTGAAGTGTCCCTGCCCATGGCAGGGGGGTTGGAACTTGATGATCTTAAGGTCCTTTCCAACCATAACTATTCTATGATTCTATGTGTGGTTTGGGGTGTATCCACACAACTGCATTGACAGCAAATTCCACATGAGCTTGAGCAGACACCCATCTCAGCCAGCAATGAGATTTTTGCAATAGAAATGACCACACAAGCAGCAAAGACTGACATCAGAAACCACTTCTACCACCCCAGCAGAAGCAGATCTGCAGATGTATCCAGAGCTCTGACAGCTGTCCCCAAGCACAGCTGTGACACACGGACATAGCTGTGGGGAACACTTCCAAGAAATAATGACCACCCACAAGACATCAGAAGCTCCTGACACCTCACAGGACTGAATCTTCCTGATCTTCAGCAGGCAAACAGTATCAACCTGTCACATTCACCCCTCATTTTCCAAGTGACCTTCTTCCCTTCTCTGGAATAGGCACAGTGAGATTCAGAAACAACTATCACACTCAGGACTTACCTTTCTGTGAATTTCTTCAGCTCATACAAAATAGAAGACCCAGTCCTTGATGAAAACACATTTTATATGCAATATTGCAATTAGATGCATGTCTTAATCACTAAAACAGATCTTTTGTTGTATGAGTTTATGACCACACCTTTCATAACAGCTCTGCTGATCAATAAGAAGTCTTCATGCACGTCTTTCTAAAACAATAGTAATTATAATTGCAGAAACAACTCCTGTGACTTACCAGGATATTATGACCACGAACATTCCTCCACTTTGCCACCGGTTCTGTCAAAACCTTGTTAAAAATAATTATTCCATATTAAACATGGTTTAGATTCAAAATACTTAATTTGACCCTACAGACCTACAACTATTTTAATGAATATTTGTTCAGTAAGTCACAGTATTCAGTATTGTATTAGAAAGCTCATCCCTCTTCAGAAAGCAGCACGGAATCCCCTAATACAAAAAGCAATAATGATCACTGTTTAAAAATAGAGAAATATCAATATACAATTTCTTTTCAGCATTTCTAAACAGCCAAAATAAAACACTGGATTAATTACCTAATGAGCCTGGATGTAATTTCACTTTTTCAAAATAACTCCCATGTAAGGGAAGGAATGACAGCTGAGTCCTGAACGGACTTCAATGCCTGGTTCATTTCCTCACAAATTATTTTCTCAGAGAAAAATCAGCAAAGGAAAAGAGGATGAGAATGCTATCATAGTACTTCTCATTTTATTTTTGTGATCTAACAAACAAAATGTACTCAAAACTTTTATGAAATTGATCAGAAAAGCTTCTACCTTGAATAGGTAAAATCACAACAGACTTACCTGGTTCAAACTCCAATAACACTGCAGAGCCAGGCCTAAGAGAAGCTGGTAAGCCTGGGAGTTCACTGGCTTTTTAAAAAATGTTGCACTATAACCAAATTAAACTTTGCTACGTTTTGGGTTTATCCTTACCCATAAGGATCATTCCTGTTCAATTAACAAATAACATTAGGCAACCCAGCATTTCTATGAGGAAGCCTAGACTTTTTATCAGTGGGTTCCCAGGCTTGCCAGGGAATATCTACCTGATATCCACAAAGGCAATACCTCACTAAGGTCTGATCCTGATTTTGTCTAAAATACAGGGAAACTGCCCTTCCCCTCATCTTGCTCTAAGCATATGAAATCAAATACCATACCAGTCTAAGAAATCTCCAGAAAAAAAAAAAAATCAACAGATTTTTCATTTTTCAAAAAGCCATTCATTTACTGGGATCTCCATTACATGACATCAGAATTTTCACATCATTACTTCTTTGCTTATTACATGATGTATCTAAGATGTGAGATGAAAGAACAAACAAGCACACCTAAATGTGCCCAGCAAACATGGGCTGCTGTTACAGAGGTACAACCTCTAATCCACTGGTTTTACTGATACTTGGGCATCTTGTACTCTAAAGTACAATGATCTGAATTTCTCTTCTACAGTTTGACTGTCTGTAGTTGCAGAGCAGGCACCAGTCTGTGCACTGGTTTACAGCCTACTGCTCTGTTAGCCCAGCAAAGGAAAACATTTCTAACCGTCAATTTTGTCAAGACAAGCAGCTGCTTAATGATGTGTACATAAAGACAATGAAATGCACACGCAGTACCTCAATGTTAGTAGTTTGTGCAAAATAATCCAGGCACGTTGTTTTTCCACTCGCAATGTTCCCCTCAACACATACCTGATGAAAAAGAGTATCACTGTTAAAAAATGTGTTATCATTTCCACATCAAGCACACTATTTCCCTATAATGCAATTCGATTACTTCATACAAAGACATTTGGTCTTCCCAGCCCCCCAGAACTTCAGAGGGTCATCGGTGGTCTGCTGCTACCCCACACTGTCTGCCACAACTCACCTCCGAGACTGCAACACTTCACGTTCAACTTCGTTCAACTTAAAATAAGTGCCAACTGAAGTTGTAATTTCAGCATCCATTAAACAGACAGCTTAATGCATAAGATACATCATCTATTTTCAGTCGACACCTGTCCCTACACAACAGCATGCACTGACACAAATCCCTCATGACTGTACTGCAGTTCACAGAACACAGCAACCACAGCCTTGTGCCAGGTAAGATCCAGCGTCAGACCCACCACCTGAACACCCCAAGTAAAACAAATACTCACAACTGTTTTCCTACCATCTTCTTTTATCAGGTGTTTATCTAGATTGGAAATAAACAGGAGTTACAAATAAGAAGGAGCTCTTTGTAACTTTAAGCTATACCAAGCCTCTTAATGTCAGACCCTCCATGAGCTTTTTAGGCTCCCTATTGCTTAATATAAATTTTCGCCAAATTACCAGTCTTCTAAGGATCTGGGTAATCACGGGGTCACGCAATTGACATGTTAAGCATACACGGCCACGGGTTTACCTTAAGTTCTCTGTTGTCCTTAACACTACAAGGAGTCAAATGGAGAGTGCCTATGCTCCTTCAGAGTTCTCTTACACTTACTGCTCCTCAGTTAGTTTACACTGGTGGAAAAAAACAGTGAGTTTTGGAAATACCAGCTGTGGTGCAAGGCTTGGCTACAACACTGGGCAAGCATGAAGATGCAAACACACCTCCAAGCCACGTAATTTAGATGCCTTACATCCCAAAACTGCCTATATAAAGTATACACAGGGAGACCCTTAACAAAACAAAACAGACAACAAAGGTGGGTTTGGTTCCCCAACGCTGCCAATGAGGGCCTACAAAGCCTATCAAGGCCACGACATGCAAGAAGCCGTAAAGTTTGGACAGGCTACAAAGAAGGGGGGGGGGGGGTGCTCCACCCCCTTACGAGATGCGGTGGTTCTTCACACCCGTGTCCCCGCTGCTGACGGATTTAAGAGCGCTGACCTCTGAGCCCTCTCTCCATCCCCTTCGCCGCCGCCGCCACCTCTGGCTGCCGTTCGGGTGGCCACGGCCCAGGTCGTTGCGCGGGGAGCAGCTGTCGCCTCCCCCCCGGCCGCTCCCGCACCTCCCTGTCTAGCAGGGTCCCACCGCTGCCCCGACCCGCGGGCCCGGCCCCCCGCACGCGAACTTACAGCCGCCAGCGCCGCTCGGACCGGGCCGGGAGCGCAACGCCAGGCCGCCCGTCGAGGAGCTCGCGGCCGCTCCGCCCGCCCAGGCTGCCCAGGCCGCGCCGCTACCCCGGCCCCAGGCCCCGTGCAGTGCACCGGGCCGCGCCCAGGCCGCGCCCAACCGCCACATCGCCCATCCCTCTTGCCGGCCCCGGCACTGCCCCAGCACAACCGCTTCCGGCCGTTGCGCGCTCACTTCCGCCGCCAGGGGTGCGCCAGGGCGGAGCCGGCTCTAGCCCTATCCACGTCCCCAGAGGAGGGGTGCGGGTGCTGCGGGGGGCGGCAGCCATGGCGCTGGTGGAGCTGGACAGAGCCTTCCACCGCTCCCCGCGGGGCGCCGTTAAGATCGCCCGCATCGTAAGAGCTGCGGGGAGGGGAGGGGAGCGGAGCGGGGCGGAGCGGAGCGGGGCGGGCCTATCCGCGGGGTCCTGCACTCCCGAGAGGGCGGGGATGGCCCGAGGGGCTCAAGGGTACGGGCGGGGATTGGCACAGTGGTAGGACATGCACCCGTACACAGACACGGTAGTCTTCCTGTGTCCCCGCAGCTGTTGGCGTGGGGGATGTTCTGCTGCTTCTTGGGGGCCCGCGCCCGCGGGATGTACACGTCGCTGGCCGGCATGGAGGTGGTGATCACGACGCTGTGCTTCCTCCTGTACTTGCTGAAGCTCGATAAAAAGATGACGTGCCTGTTCTGGCCTCTGGCCGTGAGTACTGGCGGGCCCCGAAATAAAGGGATCTCACCCCGGTGATGGCCTATGCACAGAATCGTAGAACGGTTTCGGTTGGCAGGGCCCTTAAAACTCACCCTAGTTCCAACGCCCTTGCCACAGGCAGGGACACTTTCCCCTAGACAAGGTTGCTGCAAGCCCCGTCCGACCTGGCCTTGAACACTGTAGGGCAGCCACAGCTTCTCTGGACAACTTGAGCCAGCGCCTCAGCATCCTCACAGGGAAGAGCTAATGCCTAATGTCTAATCTGAATCTTCCTGCTGTCAGTTTAAAGCCACTCCACCTTGTCCTGGCCCTGTATGCCCTTGTCAAAAGCCCCTCTCCACATTTCTTGTCCCATTTAGGTACTGGAAGCCACATTAAGGTCTCCCTGGAGCCTTCTGAACAACCCCAGTGCTCAGCCTCATTCTAAGGGTTGTAGTCAGCTATCTCAGGCACCATTGCCGTAAAGTTGGAGCAAACCTGAGTTCCACTGTTGTTGATGCAGTTTTTCCTAGAGGTTCTTTCACACTGATTTCTCAGCAGTTGGCTTCTGTGCGCTAGCAGTCCCTCTTGCAGTTAGCATCATCTGCTTAGCTTTGTAATACTGTATTTTCATCTTTCACTCCACAAATTAACCATACACTTTCACTGAAATATTTGCTAGTCTATCAAGTGTAGCCAAGTAGCATAAATTTGACTGGAAAAAAAAAAAAAAAAAAAACAAACCAGAAAGGTAAAATGAGTTAAGTTTCATCACAAACGTTCTTTCTGACATCAAACCACTGGGTGTCACTGTCGATCTTACATGGGTATCTCTAATTCCACTGTTGTAGCAAATCAGCGATTTTTGATAATCTGTAAAAGAACTGGGCGCTGTTCATGTTCTTCAGGTGTGTATTTCAGAATAAATATTTTGCTTCCGCTGGCTGTTTCAGGATATTTTTAACTCGATGATTGCAGCAGTGTTCCTCCTCGTTGTGTCCTTGTTTGCAGTAGTAGTCGAGACCAGCAAGGCGACAGTGGCAGGAGGTGTAAGTAGCAACATTGTTAAGGCATTTCAGTTCTTAAAGTGGGCAGGATTTGAACGTCTTGGTATCCTTCTGTTGTGGTAAGACCATAAAAATAACGGTTGTGGAAGAACATACTAAAACAACAGTAAAGACATGTTCAATCTTACTAAAAATGTTAATCTCACTAGATCTCACTACATTGAATCTCACTAAAAAGATAATCTTAAAATCACACATAACTTAAAGATATTACTAGACTTGGGAGTTGCTATTGAGAAGTACCAACACTGAATACTGCTAGAGTCTAACTAATTGGAGTAACTGATATTTGCTTCCACATCTTGCAGTATGGAATAGATATCCCATCGACCCTCAGTGGGAGAACCTGTAGCTCTTTTAGGACTATCCCATTTAGTTACACTATTCCAGAAGAAATTCCGACACTCCTGTTAAAAAAGGGTGGAAACTTTTTTTAACAGGCATGCTGGTACCTCCCTCCTGACGTGTGTTATTATTTTTTCTGACACAAACTGAGAAATCCTGGAAGTTGAAAAGGGATTTGGTTTTTTTTCAAACGATAAGATTTTTGTGTACTTAAGATCAAATCAGTTTTAATAGTTTAAGCAACTGTAATTTTTAATTCAAATCAAATATAATTAACATTAAGAAACAAAAAGGGGGAGGCCCTCAGTTTTGAAAGTACATAAGTTTTCTGAAGTACAAGAAAAGCTCAAATGTGACAAGCCACCATCAGAAACCCAGAACTTGCCTCAGGAGTTTTTCAAAATCAGCTTAAGAGACTTGGTGAGAGGGAGGGCTGATGTTCTCGCTGACCATGCCATCCTGAGCAGAAAGGAGACTTCCTGATAAGTGCTAGGATATAATTTATATTGTCAGTTGTGAAGTTAAGTTGGAAGCAGGAGACTGAGCAAGTAGCTTGGAAAAAAATTTGGGGAGAACATCTGATATCTTCCATGTGTATTTTTAAAATACGTGTATATTTTCAATTTGGAATGTTTGCCATTCAGAGTTTCAGAGAAGAAGAGTGCTATTTTTTTTCCCAGTAGGCTTGCTTTTAGAAATGCTGCATTTTCTCCAGACCAATACCATTAATTAGGCATCCTTGAAGACACAAAAGTTTTCATTTTGGATAAAAGCACCGTCTGGCATCTTGCAGTTTTCAGAGAGAACTCCTGACCTCCAGGGCTTCACATAGACTTTGGGCAAAGCCAGGTTGTGAACTGCTGCATGAAAGGCTGATGGGGTTTAAATATAGATGTTACTTATCAGCTGTCTGGAATCTCACATATATTTAGATTATACCAGAACCAGGTTAGAAAGATGTATCTACTGCTGCTTTGAGGAATGGTAGATGAGTCACTACAGTGAAAGATATTCAATGTGGAAACTAACACTATTATTATTTTTATAGGTGTTTGGGTTTATATTGCTTATTCTCTGTGGTGTGGATGCAGTTGTTTTGTGGAAGATTAGCTTTGGTGGACGAAGAGAAAGGAATGATCCTGCCAAATAACATTTTAGTAAAAGAACGATTTCTCCACTGGTGACTGGTTTACTGTTATTTTTTAAAGAATTTGTATTTTTATGTGTTCACCTTTGTTCACAAATATAAACTTCACAGAAAATTCTCCTGTTTTGTAAGCTTAATTACATTCTTACGTGTTTGAAGGTTAACTTTTACCTGAATGAAGATTAATTTTACGCTTGTCTTTCTGTAATAAAAAAGAATATATACATGGGCTTACGTGCATTATTTAACATTTATTTATTAAGCATACTTAAAGGAAATATTTAATGTGCCAGTAAACACTGTTGGGAACAGATTGGGGGGGGGCACGAAGGGACCCCCCCCCCCGCCCCTTGCTGCGCTCCTCGCCTCCCTCCCGACGGCTCCTTAAGCCCGTTGAATGTTTCCTTGCCGAGGCGTTTTGATCCCTCAGCTTTACCGTTCGTGTTCAGGATAGCTCCGAAGACACCCGCAGCGTCTCCCCAGCGCCGTGGGGAGGGTGGATACGGTCAAACGGGTGTCACAGGGCGCGTCCCGTGCGCGCGGCGCGGCCGCCACCCCCCAGATTTGGGGATGCTGAAACTTTTTTTCACGTTTCCGCAGGGTCACGATTTCCGCTTCCCTCCTTCAGAAAACACCCGCACCCGCCCGCGCCCCGCGCCCGCCGCCATGGAGGAGCCGGGGGCCGCCGAGCCGCCGCCCGGGCCGCGCCCGCTGCTGCTGCCCGCGGAGCTGCTGCGCTCCCGCAAGGGGCGGCTCCTGCTCGCCGAGTCGGTAAGGGCGGGAGCGGGGCAAGGAGGGGGGCGCCGCCGGGGCCGCATCGCAGCCCCCACCCGCGGAGCGCACGCGGCAGTTAGCTCGGCCCGGCCGGGCCCCCCGGCTGCAGCGCGGGGGTGGCGGAGGCAGGCGCGGCTGAGGGCAACCCGCGAGCACCCGCTCCGGCATGGGGAGAGAGAGCTCGGGGTGCAGCGGCGCCGAGCCCGTCCTGCCAGGCGCGGTCGGAAACCGGCTGACCGGTCTCGTTAAGTCCCCGGTGCCGTCGCAGTGTTCCTCGTTAGCAGGAGAGGTCTTCATGTAAAAACGGCTTTGATTTCGTTTTAACCTGCCCGCAGTGTGGATACAGTGACCACAGCTGACCAGTTCTGGTTTACCTCCTAGTGCCATGGGGAAGGCTTGGTGTGAGTATGGCCTCAGTACCTCAGGAAGATCCTTACCATCTAATGGGGGGTGGCATTACGTAGGGCATAATTATCTACCAACTTTGGTCCTGAGTGCACCAAAAGCTGCGTTTGCCCTGGCCTCGGAGAGAGACACGCTGTGGGGACAGTTCACCTACTGTGAAAAGACCAAACAATCAGCGGCAGCAATAGTGGGAAACACTGCTCCCCCAGAACTGCACCACATTTGTTGCTCTAGGGACAAGTCCTGAGATCAGGGCTGTTGATTTCTAGTGTAACACTTTCTGGTATTTTACTTTTAAAGGTTTAAAGCCTGACGAATGAAAGAGTACCTGCCTGGTAGGGAAAGGGAATCACAGGCTGGTTTGGGTTGGAAGCAACCTTAGAGCTCTTGCAGCTCCAACCCCTTGTCATGGGCAAGGGGCACCTTCCACTAGAGCAGGTTGCTCCAAGCCTCGTCCAGCCTGGGCTTCAACACTGCCAGGAATGGGGCAGCCATAGCTTCTCTGGGCACCCTGTGCCAGGGCTTCACCACCCTCACAGAGGTTTCTTCCTAATGTCTAAGTCTCCCCTCTGACAGACGCTACATGCCTTTGTAAGAAGTCCGTCTCCAAATTCCTTGCAGCCCCCTTTAAGGTACTGGTGTTTTTTAAGAAAATCTACCCCCATGGGCAGTGGGTATTTCAAATAAAAAGTTAAATTTTAAGAGGGATTTAGTTATTTGAAATTATACCTTCAACATCATTTATACTAGAAATAACGAGAGATTTAAACACTAATCTGTAATTTTTTGACAGCAAGTAGTCAAATATTAGGACAGCTCAAACTAGCAGTCGTGGAGCTAAACTAAACATGGAGCACTGTTTAGATCTGTAAGGTGTCTCTGGCTATCCGCTGTGCTAGCTCGGAGAAGGAAACGGGGAAATTCAGGCAGGAGAAGGGGGAGGTGTGGGCAGAAGGGGACAGCGCCGTTAGACTCCCTGAGCAGCCCTGTGATTTTGTGAAGCTGTTGGGAACACCCAGGAGATGCACAGCTGGATTTGAGAGGAAAGCCCATTCATCCAGGAGATGAGGGTGACTTCTGCAGTGGGGAGCACAGACCTTGGGCTGGGGAGCAGAGGCCACATGCTGCATCAGCTCCAGCAGAAGTGCTGTAAAGCCCCATGTATCCCTGTCACTCATACAGCATCTGCAGTTTGCAAAAACACGTTCAGAGGATACCAAACCAACTAACTTCCCTCCTTTGGCATTCATTTTTGTTATGTTCTATAATATATACCGGAATTTCCTATAGAAGCCTACATCTACTGATGATGACTTTCAGACAGGCTGGCTTTTTAACATCTCCAAATGATGACATATTTGAGGAATACTGTTTTGGTCATGGGATCAGACTCACCCTTTGTTGTCATAGAGAAGTACTGATTATGCCTCCTTGGAGTAATAAAAACTGCTCTGTCTGTCGCTCTTTGTGGGCCAGCCCACGTGCCAAGGGTGTCATTTCCTGACACAGGGAAGGCAGTGGTAGTTTCTCTCCTGTTGCCTCAGCTTTACTAGAAGAAACCCTTGAAGGCAGCGTAGGCCCCAGAACAAATCCAGTCTGTGTACAATTAGAGAAATGCAGTGCCAAATAATTGAAGATGACTCCAAGTTAAATCTGTCACAGTTTATATCTGTGTTTCATCTTTAGCTTTGTATTTCTCCTTTCAAATGTGTGATTTGTCCCTCTTTGACACAGCACTGATGCGGGGCAGGGTTGTGTTCTGCATAAACATATGTAAATAATAATTCATGGGATACAGATTTTGAATAGTGTCCTTTGTTTAGAAAGAAAATGGGGTTCTCATTGTTATCAATTACCTCTCTCACATTATTATTATTATTCAGCAGCTTGGCAGGTCCCAAGGGATGTGCTTTATTTCTCTGTGTTTAAAGTCATGCAAATACTGGCATGTCTGCAGGTAGATCAGAGGCTTTCTGTTCCGCTGCAGGAAATGCCAAGTCAGCTTTTTCAACATGCAAAACACAAACCACCACATACTGAAAAATATATTACCACTGAAGCAAAGCAGCAACTTGCAGACTCGTCTTGACTGGGGTAGATGGTCACGCTCCTGCTTTTCTGGGTATGGCAGAAAGGGAAGAGAAGTCAGCTTCAGCAGGTTCCCTCAGCAGCGAGGATTGCTTTGTTCAGATGAAGGAAACTTATAGCCACTTGTTGTCAAAAGTAACATTTTCATACATTTTTACACATTTTCACATGAAGTGAGTATGGGTCTTCACAGTGTTCAGGTGCAAGTTTCATGTCGGCATGCAGACTGCTCTGGGGTCTATCAGGTCTGGGCATTCTGGTGCTTCCTCTAGAACAAGTTAGGCTGGTGATGAAGCCGATTACAGGAAGAAGCTTAATTAGAATCTCAGATTTTATTCAGAGAAGGAAGTTTCCCCCATCCCTCTGTTCCTTTTCCTTCTCATCTTCCCGCCTCATTAATTTTTTATTCCATGTGGGATAGCTGCACAGCCACAAAGCAGTAACATCAAATACATGTATAAGCTTTGCTGTCTCTCCTGAGCCTATTTATTCTCACTGTCTTGCACCTCCAGTTTCTAATCACCATTTTTAATCTCCCAGGTTGATTGTTTTCCCTTTCTGTCCCCTCCCCATACCATTATTTCTTCCATATATTTTACCACTCCTCTTAAGCTACTTATTTTTTCTGAGTACTGAAGTTGCTGTCTTGAAGGTCAGCTTCTCACCCATGCTCTTTTCCCTCCTTAAGAGATGCATTTTTCAGTTCCCTCTATCCCATGTTGAAACCATTTAACAGACACTCTCATACCTGCCACCAGAGCTTGTCCAGGCAAGATTCACATTTATGTGTCCTGCTGCTCATCCTGGCTGTTTCAGTCAAGCTTTTGTGTTTGTCCTGGTGACTACTGTAATTGTCATCTCCTTAGTTCCCTGAAGCCAGTACACAGTGGCATTATGTATTAGCCAGGCTCTTCTCAGTGGCAAACAATGAAAGGACAAGGGGAAATGGGTACAAATTGGAGCACAAGAGGTTCCACTTAAACCTGAGAAGAAACTTCTTCTCAGTGAGAGTGACGGAACACTGGAACAGGCTGCCCAGGGAGGTTGTGGAATCTCCTTCTTTGGAGACATTCAAAACCCGCCTGGACACGTTCCTGTGTAACCTTATCTAGGTGTTCCTGCTCCGGCAGGGGGATTGGACTAGATGATCTTTTGAGGTCCCTTCCCATCTCTAACATACTGTGATACTGTGATTTTTTTGATACAAATGTAGTATGACTATATAAGGTTGTCCTGTATAAGGTTGTGTCACCTTTGTGGTCACACAAAGAATGTAGAAATCATTGTGCCTGTTTTTCTTCTCTTTTCCTGTCTCTCTTCTGTCTTTTCAGTCTCCTCTGAACTGACCTTCATAACTGAAACTTCCAGCTGCTCTGTGTAAAGCCTCCTTTGAAGACAATCCGGTACCTTTGACTGGGTCTGTAGCCAGAAGGCAATTCTTGCAGCTAACTCTGGGGGAACCAAGAACTTCAACTCTATGACAAGTACAATGAAGAAGTAAAATAGCAGAGACCACTGAGTGAGCACCTCTTCTATGGAGACAGACTGAGAGTATTGGGCTTGTTCAGCCTTAGAGCAGCTTTCAGTGCCTAAAGGGGACAACAAGAAATGTGGAGAGGGGTGTGTAGGGATAGGACAGGGGCAATGTCTTGAAGCTAACAGAAAATTTACATTAGACATTAGGAAGAAGTTCTTCCCTGTGAGGGTGCTGAGGCGCTGGCGCAGGGTGCCCAGAGAAGCTGTGGCTGCCCCATCCCTGGCAGTGTTCAAGGCCAGGTTGGACAGGGCTTGAAGCAACCTGGTCTAGTGGAAGGTGTCCCTTCCCATGGCAGGGGCTTGGAACTGGACAAGCTCTAAGGCCCCTTCCAACCCAAACTGTTCTGTGACCTGCTTTCACTCTCTACCAATAAGCAATAACAAATGCACTCTTGCCCAGAAGAGATCACCACAAGCCGCTTTTAAAACTGTTAAGCAAACCTGTTCTTTTCCCAGGAGGGCACATAAGGGGCATTTGATGCATTTGATGGTGCGGACAGTGAGTGGAGGGCACTGGGGTGTGTAGTAGTGTGCAATGATGTCAGCTGCTTCCCAGCATCTGTGTTGCTCCCAGTGGGCTCTCTTCTCCCTGCATGGAGCTAACGCCTTCTCAGTCTGCCCTGACCTCAGCACTTCAGCAGTCCTCCCACCCTTAAGGAGCCCAGTGCTCTCTAACCATTGTAACTCATTATTTTTTATACCTTCTAGTGGAAGTTACTTATATGATTCAGTATAACTTCATAATGCCTGGCCAGCTGAAGAAGCCCAGCAACAGTATTGAGTGAGAATTATGTGGGAGAAAATTTATTTTGAAACACAATCCCAGAGAAGTTCCTTTAAAAAAGAAAAAGTAATATTTAATAGTTCTTTCTCTTTAATGTACAGTCTCATCCCCACACACACCAAAAAAAAAAAAAAAAAAAAAGGTGCTCAGTGAACAAATCAGGCTTCTTTTTTTGCCAGGATTTCTTATATAATCTTACCACTTCCAGGCTAAGAAAGGAGCCTGTTCTGTGCTTCACTGAGCTACAGCTTTCTGCATCCACATATTATTCCACAGCGGAGCTGGCAATCATGATAAACTTTCAATAGCTGCTATCAGTGCTGAGGATGTAATCCCGAGGGACAAGGACCTCCCCTTTGTATATGCAAATGGACAAAACTGATGAAACACTACTTTTTTTTTCTCCCAGAAGCAGCAGTGCTTTCTGAGTCTGAAAGTGCTAAACATGAACTTGCAAACACATTGAGCCGAACTTCCTCTCTAGCTGTTGGGTTTTGGTTTCAGCTTGTTTTCTTTTTTAGCACAGATACAGAGCTGTTGAAAAATTACAAGAATCCCATTGCTTGGCCTTCTCTGAAATAATTTTTAAATATGTAGCTGCAGTAAAAAAGTGCAGAACAAGTTTGATATGCTTTGATCATCTGACGGTCTTTAGAAGAGTCAGGCTATGTTCTGAACGTTGCTTTAGAGTTTGTCAGTTTTGAGCAGTTTTTGATTTGGCAGATATTTGTCTCAAAGACTTGAAGTCTGGAAAAGCAAATAGGTGTTCATGAGTTCTGGGTACAGGCGGACAGATCAGTGTATGGTGGGGGGAGAGGTGTGGTTTTTAAATAACCAGATTTTTAGATTACATCAGGTGCTGCAGTTAATGGCACTGCAGTTCAATGGTCAGATAAGACACCTACTCACTTCTGTAATTCAGAAAAGGCAGTAATAGGTAATAACCACTATTGCTCAGGGAGTCCATGCACTCCACTTACCAGAAGAGGAAATGATCTGTAAATAAAGAAACGAGAAACGTTATTGAAAGCCAGCAGCTTTGGGGCTCTCCTATTACACAGGGCTGTCCCCAAGTTACCTAGTAACTGACATAATTTAGACATGGTTTCATGTCATGTTTCTAGATCTGACATCAAAATCCACATCAGGTCTGTGACACTGCCACTAGGGAAAGAAAACAAAAAACAAGCCCTACAGAGCCATCAGGCACCTCCTTCCTTTTGTTTCTCTTGCTCTTTCTAATGCCTGCCTGCCCTTCCAGCCTTGCCTCAGTGAAGGCTGTAACATCTAAAATATTATCTCTTAACCTTTATTCTCAAAATCTGGTCCATTATTTTATAGGTGTGTATTTCACAAAATCTTCCTTGAGCCTTTTCAGTCTCTGAATGCCTCCAAAATGAGAGCAGTAATCATGCTTCATGTTATCATTCTTTCCCTTTTACAGTTATCATCAGGAATCCATTGAAATCAAGGGAATTCTTGCAAATCAAGGGTGTTGGGTATTTTTAATGTGGTTTTAATGTGCGCTTCACCAGCACAACAATGGGGTGCTGATAAGTAGAGGTAAGGAGCAGGGAGCTGCAATGGGCTGGAACTCAAGCCTCCCACTGGTGGTGGTGACGGCAGGAGTATTGGTACTGTTCATCAGAGCTGAGGAACAGGCAGCAGGAGACTGATGGAATCCTATCAGTGACTGAGAATTTGTTGGAGCAAGTAACTGTCCTGTTAACTGGATTTTAAATGGACAACCAGTATTTCCCCAGATGCCAGGTTCTCTGGATCAGACCAAATTAGAAAGCTGAAATGCTCAGACTGATGCTTTTGTCTCTTCAGCAACTTACCTTGCACCGAAGCAGGGATCCCAGCAGCGTATCAGAGCAGGAGCCCCCCCTCAGTGTGCTCATCACAAAACAAGTTTCTGTTGCATCCTGAGCCCCGATTACGCAGGGTCTTGGGCACTGCTCTGCATTTCAAACCACATAGACCAGCCCAGGACCATCAGGGTGAGGGGAAGACAGCAGGAACCTTAAGTTGCACAAACTACTGTAAAGCTGATCTTAAAAGAATACGAAGGCTCTTCGTTTCACCTAATAGTTAAGGCTTTTGACAGGATAACTTTTTGCTCTGTATAAAGGCAGGCAGAGCACAGGAGTTACTGTATTGAACAGAATCGAGATCAAAGTGATCTCCCTCTGCGTCATCAACTTACATATCCGAAATTTGCCCCTCTGCCTCCCCTTGCTGCTGTAGTATGATGTATTATTTAACACTGCATTTAATCCTTTCATAAGTGATCTAACAAGTTCACTTCAGGTCTAATGCTCAGCTACTGAAAGGGGGTTGGTAGGTGGGACCTATCCTGAAGGCCTTTTCTCCCTGCTGCTGTTTGTCCCTGCATACTTCTCTGTCTGTACATCTCAGCTATCACACTTGCCTTTAGCCAGAAAAAGGAAGAGATTTCCTTTTAAATATCAGAATGAAAGAAAAAAAGTCCTAGCTATGTGATGATTTCTTTTTAAATGGAGAAAATATGAAACCATGTCTAAATTATGTTCCACAAATTCAAGTGAAGCAGATTGCCAGAGTTAAAGTCCCGTCTTTCTGGCTTAATTCCTTGGGGGTGGGAAGGGAATAGGGGGTGTGATAGGAAGGAGGAAGTCCTCTCTTTCCTCTTAGTAGTTTTACAAGTTCTGTTATATCCACTTCTTTTCAAACAGAACTCACTACTTTTCATTTTCAGAAATACAATACCACGTTAAGGTTAAGATACAGTGAACACTCTATGAAAACCCTGGGAAAAGCTGCAAAAAGGCTATGGAAGCAATAAGCAAATAATAATAAATAACAAAATAGAATAACGGCCTAGATGTAAAAGTGAACGCTGTGTATTACACCAGATCATACAACCCAGTGAAATGAGAACAATGCGTAGACATTAAGATAAATATAGTATCTTACTAAAAATGTCACATCCTCTCAAACTTCACCACCCAGTCCTAATGGTTCTAAACAATATACTCAGCTATTATCCTCCTGGTAAAAAACTGACAGCTGTCCCCAAAACCCAGGCTTACAATAAAGGCGTTTTGATTAAGAAATTATTTCAACAGGCTTGAACTGTAGTTGGCCCTAAACCTAAATGGGCTCTATTGATACACGTATTTGAAGGTTGGCTGACTGCTCATAAGAATATTTATTAATTAATTCTAGGAGCCTTTTCATTTACATATGATAATGATTTGGGTTTTTTTTTGAGTTACAGTTGGTTCCCAGGAACATGTGGTAGCAGCAAATAAATCTATAGATCTGAAACTGAATGAGGCAAATGCATTGATCATCACAGTGCTAACATTTATGCTTTTCAGGAAGCCACATCTGCATTGGTGTGTGCCATCTGGAGAAAAATAACACATCTATTTTCAGTATTATATGAGTGAGAATGTCAGTGTCACAGTTTAGCATTTAAAACTTCAGAAATTCCATGTAATCTAACACTCAAACAGCACCTATGTTGACCAGAAGTATCTCTGAGCATTGCTTAGGCAGACATTTGTCTCCAAAAAGAAAGTTTAAGCAGAGCAGCTCAGGTGTAAACTAGCACATAGTATACCTGCGGGAGTTGTTTTATTCAGCATGCTTGCTGCATTTTATTAGTATTATTTTGAGCTAATTTGAAGAAAACAGCAACCAGTTCCCATGCAGGGCAGTAGAGCAGCAGGGCTGGAGCCTCTGCCCGGAGGTGACCAGCTCACAGCGTATCATTTGTTAAGTTTCTCCATGGTTTCCTCACCTCCCACTTTCACAAATACAGCAGCTGAAAGTCCAGAAGCACTTCAGTGCTGTGGTTTAGGTGAAAATGCATTTTCTTTAACCATTTTTCCATCGTGAAACTCTCTGGTTTAAGCCATAAACTGTATTCTGAAGGTCTTAATTGAATGGGAAAACAACGTTGTAATTACACTACAACTACTATTACTACTATACTATTACTACGTTGTAATTACAAATTATCGTGGAGATAAAACAAATGTATGGGAGTTACCTATCCAATTAGTCTCTAAACCAGCTGTCAACACTGGAAAACTAGACCCTGAGACTTCCAGAAATCACAGGATAATTACCTCTCAGTTCTTTTCTATCCATCAACAGCAGACTTTTTTTCTTCTAGCTCTAAGAAGATTATCAGTGCTGAGTTACTTTGGGCTATTTGAGCAATGATTCGGGTTTCAAGTGAGAACAGTCACAGCTGAAAGCTTAAAGCTCTCTTTGCTTGGCAATGTCCCACTCTATTTTCAGAATTATACTGTCAGCAGTGTTCACAATCCAGAGCAAATTACTGACTCTGAGAGGTGCAAATCCACCACATGCTCCGGACAGTCAACTTCATACACATTGAAATAAATGCCATTACCTTAGATTTATTCCATGCTAAACAAGAAAACTCATTTGGCCTAAGGAAAAAAAGAAAAAAAAGAAGCAAGATAATGCCATCACCAGCAGCACTGACAGAACACTGCTTCAAAGCTGCTCAGCTGCCTGAGGCTCTGCTGTTCCAAGAGAATAACTAGGCTTCTCTTTACTCTAGGTGCTGTCATTTATCATCTTTATCTGCTATATTGCGTCTCAAGCTACCTCTTTCATGATGGCACCGCTCCTTGAGTTTCTGCTGGCACTGTTTCTTTTTTTTGCCTACGCTTCCAAACTTAATGAGAAGTTTAAAGGACTCTACTGGCCTTTGATGGTAAGTGAAATGTGCAGTTTCAAAGATTTCACTGTACAGTGTAACATGAGTAAAAGGGACTGTGTGGGAATTTAGGATGACTGTTAATAACTTCTTATTAGAAACTTGTCTGCATTGCCTCCTATTCAAAAGGACCCAGAGCACTCTTTAAACTATGCTGTATTACATACATACTATAGCTTTCTTGGTGCTGACACAAAGCATAGTTGTATTAAAACATGGAATTTATTCCCTATTCCAGGCAAACAGCTTAGGGCTGGATTTTCAGAAGCAGGCAATACCAGCCTAAGTCTAACCACTGCTCAGGGCTCCTTAATATAGCCACCCTTAAAAACGGGGAAGCCGGGGCAGGCTATATAGCAACGCATATACTTCACTAGTGTTTTTAAATTCTCAGGTAAGTGCTGTTGAGATGCAGTCGTACCCACGTGCAAACCAGCTGACAGCTGTTTCATTAAGTGGGAAGCCCTGCAACTCTTGCCAGCAGATGCTCATTCACACAAAGGAAAGACTGGCTGGCTATTCCTTGGGCAGTTTCCAGGTTTGTGGTTGCAGGTGGTTACTGCAGGCTGGCCGCTGGATGTCTCTGTTGCTTCAAATCTACGTTCTAAAGAGAGCATTTGCCTACCAGTATAAATACTTCAAAAAAGAACTGTAATCCCATCGATCTGGATTCTCTTTTGGTACAGTTTAGCGATAGTTCATCATAAGTGAGATTTGAATTTGAGCTCTCAACGTATAAAAATAACATTAGCAAGTCCACTGGTGGATAAAAAATAGCAGTGGCTTTGATTGTGACTGTGCGTGGTTTCCAGCTGGTAATCTCAGTCCCATCATTTTCCTGTTTTTTACACGCCTCTGATTCCAGAACTAAGACCAAAAAAAGCTCTTGCGTGTTTATTATGTCCATTACCATAATATACTCCAGCTGCCGAACGTAGATAACTGACCTTGTCCTGACTTCAGAAGAGTCGAGTTTCTTGTAAGATTTGTGTTCTGAGACAGTATCTTACTTATCCATCTGCCTTCTGAAAAGGCAGAAGATCTAATTGTGAACAGAGGTCAGGATACCAGTATTCCAGCTTACATGATTTACACGTGCTCTGGGAATCACAGCTCCTTATTTAATACACAGGTCAGAGACACTGTTTCCCCAGCACACCACTGCTTGTGTTACAGAGCATGGCCCCTGCCCTGCTGAGCTGCAGTCTCAGCCACAGAAGCACGTATTTCTGTGACAGCAACAGGTACCTGCACTTAGGCTAGCCTGTGGAATTACAAGTGTACATACTAAGTATAAATCATAGCTTTAAACATTAAAAGTATTTTGTTCCTAGCTGCTGCAGTTCCTACAGACAGGCTTACTTCTATACAGAAACAGTCATACTCCAGTTCGCCATAGGAACTGGTTTGCTCCTCCAGAGCCTCCAGTACTGCAGGAGTTCTGCGTAAAGATGAGATTTCTTTAGGTATTTCAAAGGATTCTTCCATTAGAGCAGACAGTGCTGTGCTCCAGGTTTAGCCTCACAGAAAGCTAGCCCTTCTCAGCCTGAAGAAAGGTCTGCCTGTCATAAGCCTGGCAAAAGTAGGATTTATACCCGCATCTGTAAGAGCAGAAGCTTATGCCAAGATTCTGGTCATCTCTCATTTACAAATATTTCCCAGATGAGCAATTCATCCGCTACAAAACAGCAGTCTGCAGTCACGCTGCAGCATCAGGCCAGTCCACTGATGCAACAACAGAGGGGTTTAGTGGCCATTTCTGAAATCTTTTGTACAGGATTTTCTGTATTGGAATTCATGACTAATCTGAGAATGCAACATTGCCTATTTTACAGGATTTCTTGCGGTGTGTCACTGCTGCCATTATTTACTTTGCCATTTCAATTGCTGCTGTCTCAAAATATACCGATGGAGCATCAAAAGCAGCAGGAGTAAGTAGACATGAGCTTTCCACTTGAGTATTTTGGAGAAATGAGTATGGACATACTTCGGAAACAAGTCAATTTTGACACCGTTGCAAGTATCATACATTTCTTCCATTAACTAACTGAGATTTAGATTTGCCTAAAGCAAGAAAGAAATGGTCAATTAGTTAGAAAAACAAGTTTTGGATCAGTGAATAGCTTTTTCATCCTGACAGTGCTGCTCAGTGTTAGCTGTACTACTTAGGGAAGATGCCTATTCTGCTTTTTAATTTCACCAGCTGTACAGGGAAGACTTTTCTGTTGCTGCACAGAACATCAAGTTCCTTGAATGGAGGAATAATAATAATAATGAAAAAATAAATCAAACATGTGACTACTAAGGACAGCCTGAATTAAATAATCTCAACCTCCTGCCTCTAGGGCTTCTTTTTACTTGGATGACTTGAAACAACAGCAGTGTCATTTTACTTTCCAGTATATGGGCTGCCCCCGAGAAAACCTTCATCAACAACATTTTGTGTTCAGAAATAAGATACAGCCTCTCCACCTGCAACTTGACTCTAAGCATCAATAATGTATGCAACATTAATAAAATTTGCATAATAACTTTAAAAGATAGGGAAGAACAATACCCAGCAGTGTTACCCATCAGCCCTTAACAAACCATCCCAAGTAATACACGATTTCAAAACAAAGACCTTGTTTCAATCTTTGTCACCCCATTTAGACATGGTGCAACACACCCAGCATTTACCCTAGCTTCCCAGAGTGAAAACCAGCCTATTTCCAGAGGAACTGAGGCGAATTCTTGGTGGCAAAGAGAAGCCATGGGAGGGTGGAGGAGCAGGCTACAATCTCTTGTTAGCTCCAAGCACAGGGCAGTGCTGATGCTCATGCTCAGAATGTGCCTGGAGCCAGGGAGGGATGTAGCTTGGGGAATAGTTAAGGATGCGTCTGACAGAGCAACGGCAGACATTGATACTCAGGCTTCCAAATTAGCTGTAGTTTAATTGATGCCAGTGGGCCACAGCGCATTTCCCTTCCCTGACTTTTTAGGAAGGCACAGGCTAAAAAAACTAAGCCTCGGTCTTCTTTAAGAATTGTTGTGTTGGTTAGGCTTAATTTCATTTGTCTGGGACGTGACCTGTCTTTAAAGAGTATTATTTTGTCATTTTAGGTGTTTGGATTTATAGCCACGATCGTGTATGCCATTGATTTCTACATAACCTTCAATGACCTGGTTGCTTTTCTCAAGCAAGGCAGTTCTGATTCCCCTGAAGGGCACAAGTCAGAGGGTAGGTAAAATTCCCTGTTTTGGTTCCATGAGCACGTAACGTGAGATTTTCTTCTCCATTTCACCCTTCACAGGGCAGCAAGAGCACTCACTCAGAACAGTTTCTATTCTTGGCTACCTTGGGTTTGTATGCTGTATGTTTGTATACGGAATTTTGAAGCTGCTTAGTCTTAAAATACATCTGGAATTTAAGTGATTTATAAAGAGAACTGGCAAGCCACAGATGTAAAGTTTCTCAAGAGTTTTACACCATCTAACTCTGCAAGGCCCCAGATCCCATTATAGAAATTATTGTGCAGAACAGACTTTTTTCTTCCCAAAGTATCTCACTTCAAAGACAAACATTTACCCTTTTTAATAACTTAATAATTCACTTAATTTTTATAACTTGAAAACTATTTTTTGTAAGTTAGCATCCATTAGTCCACAGTTTTGTGTGTCACTTTCTTTTTACCATCTCTTTATCATGATTACCTTTTATTCAGGGTCAAGCTTTAACCATCTATGGGCAAATGACCTTGAAATTCGAGGACCACAAGGCATAAAATTAACAGGGTTGTTATCAAATTTCTTTTAATATGGGAGGTGCAGTCTACCTCAGGTCAGACAGATCCACTCAGAGATAAAAAGAGGGCCCTGCTGCTGGAAGTTGAAACTCATTTCAAGTCAAGCCAGGACACAGGTAGCTATTTTGCAGTACTCAGGAGTTCAAATCAGGCATCATGTCCCAGTACTACTCATTGCACCCACACAGATGAGGAAGACTGCTCCACACCTAAAAACAGACCAAAAGATCTCACCCCCCAAAACCTCTCAGAAACTAACACCCCAGATGTGTACAGAATCGCTGAAGGTCTAAAGTAATGCTAATAGTGTTTTCTAGGTATTCTAGTGGACTGTAAAATGTTTTGTAAGCTTTAGGCCAAGAAGAGAAACAAAGAAATGAAGAATTAAAGGAACACATCACAGGAAACAGACAAGACTAAAAACTGCTCATCCCCACAAACCTCAGAAGAAAATCAGATGACAGTGGTACAAATTTAGGCTAAAGGTTCCATCAGATTTCCCTGGAGATGGAGACAAATTTATAAACTTACAAATACACAGTCATGTGGCTTTGTGTTGAAGTGTTGTGTTGAAGACTGTGCAAGAAAAGCTTTGCCCTGCAGCACTGCCTCTCCAGCACCAAACTTGTGTTCACACTGGGGGTCTTACCTGCCGAGGTCAGAAATCCCATGCTTCCTTGCAAGCAGAGTCTCAAGCTTGGGCAAGATGTACCCTTCTGTGCCTATTGGGATTTAACATCTTAAAGCTTTCAGATAGGTTTAACTGGCAGTGCATAACTGTGACCCCCAGCAACATTCTAGTACAGGAAGCTGGTCTTCAGCAGACTTCCTCTTGGTGGTCACACTAACAGTAATACCTCTGCAGTTTCTTCTGTCTGAACTGTTATGTACATTGTAGTGGTCTAAGTGCTTCTGAGCAGCATTTCTCAAGTCCTTTGAGACACCATTTAAAGCTCCATCATATTAGAAAGAACTGTCATGTTACAAGCCTTTTCCTAAATACGCCACATCCTTTGAAGCACATGCCTGCTGAAGAGCAGTGTACCTCTCCCAGCAAGAGCTGAAGCGGATGTAGAGGTGGCCAGTTTTCATTTTCACTATTGGTTTTTGTCTTACATTTCAGATGAGGACTCCAATTCTGACTCGGACTGAAGAACTGAGCAGCAAGCAAGTGTGAAGGGAAGATCATCAGGCACTTTCCTCTTTGCCAAATGCACTGCCAATTGAAATATCTCCCTTATTTCAACCTTGATATTCTCTTTCCACCTCACTGTTTACAGAATATGAAAGCACAAATAGGGCAGTGATGTGGAAGAGGAGACTATTCCCAATGCCATTAGACAATCCTTCAGAACTACACATTTTATGGTAGTTCAACCTCTCCCAGAGGTCTGTATCGGGACAACACATCTCGATTCTCCATTGCCCATCCTTCCTCAGCACTGCGATGTACTGAGTAAACAGGATCATAATATTTTAATCATGTAAGTGGAACTTTTAGTATGCTTTATTAATTCCAAATCTGTAACACTTAAAGCTTTTATACTTCTTGCTGTGCCAAAGAAGAGAGGCTTGGAATGCCTCTACTTTATTTGTATTTTTCTTGATTAACTAACAGTATTTCTTTATCTGAAGTCTGAATATTCCACCATCTCAAGCACTGAAGGCATAGGTTACAGCTGACAGGTTGGTTTCAACACATTTATATTTACTGCCTATCTATCTGCAACAAGAAAAAGTGACAACTGGACAATGTCACCACAGATACAAGGTAGAACAGACGAGGCATCATCTTACCAGCCTTCTCTCTACCACTTGTGTGGAAGCCCTTGTATGTGTTTGCACATGCAGGTAAGGAAGGCTTGTCAAGTACTATCCAACAGCTGCCTACTGAAGCCTGTAAATATTTGTGTGCAGGATCTCAACCACTGTCTGACCTCATGCCCTGTGTTGCAAACGCCCATCCTCCCAGGAGAAGCAGTGCTGAACTTGGTCTGCTGGTTGTGCAAAACAGACAGCTCTATCTGTATGACTCAGGATCCCTGGGCCCCAGGAGGGCAGTGCATCCTCCCCACTGTGAAAGGCCAAAACAACAACCTCCAAACTGGAGAATGTCTGCAATGAAATTCATTTTCCCAGACTCCTTTTTGGTGTTTGTGTGTTTTGGTTGTTGGGTTTTTCCCACCCACCCAGAAAGACATGATTTACATTGCTGGTGTAGTATTGCAGGGGAAAAGCCTTCTGCATTTGAAGTTTACGAAGGTGCTCTCAGTGGTAGCACAGCCAATCTTGACATACTTGGTGTCCGCCACACACTGCTTGGAGAAAGCACGGTGTGCTTCCTACATACAGCATCAGATGGGTCTATTTCAAAGAAACCTGTGTACGTTTTTAATAATTCATATAGTACCAGAACAGGTGGCCTTCAGAAGAAGTAATTAAAATGAGAACAGATGGTACTGACAGAGTAAATGGAAAATGGGGATAAACCAGTAAAAGCAGATTTCCTTTAAAACAAGATCACCACTCAGGTTCCAATTCCCTGTTAGCAGCTGGCTGCTGACGGGTAGAATTTGGTACCCAACAGCAAGCAAGAGCCTGGGAAGGTGCTGTCAGACACAAGAGCTGTCCATTGGGCAGCTACACATCTCATCTCCAGACCACTAAGGGAACAGAAGCAAAAGCAAAGGGTTGCCTCTAACTGTATCAAATCATCTTCGCTATTATGAGAAAGCTCTTTGGACCTCTTCCTGCATGAGATCCCATAGTTCTTTTCTTTTTTGTTGTATTTTACTGGCATGTACTGTGATGTCAGGGGACCTGGGCTCATTTTTTATAGTCAATTATTTTGTATTTCTCTTTTTTAATTAAAAAAATTGTACTGCATGTTACAGCTGGATACTAGAACATGGTTAATATTTAGAAACCGCGCTGGATTAAACCTCTTTTAATAGAAGCATTGGGTGTCTTTACTTAAATTTAAGACCTGGTTTTATTGCTTTGCCTCTGCCCAGTGGGATTAATGGTGTTCCAGGGAACTCCGTAAGCAGGATTCCGTGTGCTGGAGAGGTGGCCAGTAGCCGAGAGGCAGCACTGAAGACTCAACACTCACACAGCTTGCAAGAAGAAACTTCATCTTTAGCACATAAGCATGACAGAACTTAACCAAGAATCAGTTTTAGCATATTCAGTAGACATTGGAGATACCGTGCTCCTACTTGGCAGCTGACACCACTGTAACCAGCAATCCCCTTGGGGTGTACCCGTCCCAGACATATTAGAACCCAGAATCTGCTAAGGCTTTTGTCCTGGGTTCAGGTGTAGCAGTCATTTTTCTCCTTAGTAGCTGGTGCAGGGCTGTGTTCTGGCTTTAGTCTGAGAACAATGCTGATAACAGACCAATGTTTTTAGTTGTTGCTAAGTAACCCTTAGTCCCATCAAGGACTTTTCAGTCTCTCCTGCTCTACCTAAAATCCACAGAAGAGGCAAACAGAATTGCTCATGAGCTGTCTCAGGACTACTCTGGCAAGCAGGCAATTAATTGCCTATGCAGAGAATGTTGTTACCAGCATTCAAGTATTTGATGATTCTATTTATTTCTAAGCAGTCTGCCTCCCGGGGTCAAGCCCTTGTGTAAGATTCCAGCATTTTATTTAAAAAGATCTGTTCCCATGACTGAAATAAAATACACTTCAGTATTTTATGAGTATCATTTCAGAATAGAAAATTCCATTAAAAGTAACTACTTTAAACCCAATTCTGATTTGTGGGGAATTGACTCAGTCTTTCGTTCATCTCCTGCCAGCAACATTGCACCAAGCTCAGTCTAGTGTAGGGAGAGGAAGAGTCTACTTGGTCTTTTAGCTTGCTTGTTGGTTGTTTTTCGTCAGCTAACAAGACCAAAACAGCTGAGATTCAAGATCCATGGCACAAGCTGTACACCTGCAGCACGCAGCCATTCTCCTTTTTAATTCCAGTGCTTGCTGAAGAGCACTTAAGCAGCAGACAAACCTAGGGAGCAGTGAGTTTTCACCATGGAACAAATCTGTGTAGAAACAACACAAGAACTCTGTGAATCAGTCAGTAACAGGAAGGAAAATGGATCAGCTGGCATCGCAGGTGAATACTTCACACAGCTCTCACGCTGTTCAAGGGTCTCCTTCCTACCTTCGCCTATCAAAAAGCTTTTATACATACGTCCCTATGGAAGACTGCTCCAGTCTTGTGCAGTGATTGTGGTCAGGTGGTGTGAAGGAATTTTTAAGACCTTTCCAAGCAGCCTTTTTAGATTCTGACTGAAATAAGAGGCTCAGCAGCCCTTGTAGCACTCTGCCCATTACTCCACTTAATTTTGCTTTTCACCTGACACTGTTTGAAGTTCTGTAAGTCTTTCATTTCCAACTGACAAAGGAATGACAAGAGCCGTGTATCTCAGCCTGTGATGTGAAGAATGCTTCCACCAGCCTGGTGTGCTGGGAGGCAGAAGACAATTTAATGCTCTGCATAGCAAGCAGATGTTTTTCATTCATTATGCTTCTGGTAAGCATTCATTGTGCAAAGTTCTAAGCTTGAATTTTATAGCTGCACCTTTCCCTCCTAGGAGGCCAGCAGCCTGTATCATTAAGCAAGCACGTACTTGTAACCAAACACTGACAGTGCGTGTTGCTAACACCTGCACTGCTAAAGTGCAGAAATAAATGAGGAAACATACACATTGCTGCTAGGCTGAGATAAACCTCACAGCAGGCAGCTTGCATCCAGCCTCACCAGAGACTGAAAGTAATAGTGATTCATTCCAAAGACCAGGATACAAACTGCCCCCCCAAAGAACAAATGCAAGATACATATTACCATGCATATGTAAAAATACAAGCAGCAGCTCCACCTAGCCCTCCTTTAATTCTTTTTTTAGCATGGAGAGAGAACAAGAGAGAGGTAACACATCAAAGAAGCAGAAAAAAATTTAGATTCTCTTGTTATAAATGCTTGAGACACCTTTTAGCAGGGAGTATTGGTTTAAGAAAAACAGGATGGAGACACCATCTCATTTTATTTCTAAGTAAACAGGACTGCATCAAAACCCCCCCACTGCAACACAGATTCCTCCTTTACTGGAAGAATTCACGGTACACTGTTCTCTGTAAAACTTGTAGGTCAGAAGGTAAAACAAGGCTACCCAGAGAATTAGCATCAACTGTGTTAAGGTCTGATCTTTAAGCTGGTCCAACAGATGCAATACCACAACAGATGACAACAGCCAACACTGCCAACAGCCCCACACAGGCAGAATGACCGGGCCCATCTTGTAGCAGAAAAGGTGTATGAGCATGTGAGTTCCTTTGTTAATCCTTCTAGCTTAGCTGTACCACCACCTTTATCCACCTCCCCACCTCCCACACATTATCCCTAAGCAGTGTTTCAAGAGCATCATCCATATTCCCAAGTCTTTCCAGAACACTCAACTCATCCATCCACAGGTTCCTGCAGTTCTTACCAACTCAGTGATTTCACCTTCCACCTAAAGCACCTGGATACCAAAAATCCCAACTGAATCAAGGTGGGATTTGGATCCCAATGCCCATGAGGGGCAGAGTACTACCCACTCATTCTGGCATTTCAGCCCCAGAATTCCTTTTCAGTCCAGAATGTGATGCTGCCAACCACATGACACAGCACTTCAGCCTGTTAACAGCATACCAGAGGGGGAAGCTTACACAAGAGCAATCCCCTTCAGCAATAAAGCAGTACCATGTGCTTTGTGTTACATATAACCTCCCAAGGACTGCTTACACATGGTTTTTCATTAACTCCTGTATCTACAAAGTTTGTCTTGCCAGAGACAGTCACAACTGAGGGTTGGCTGGTTTGGTGTCTAACCCCAATGCTGTTGTCTTGCATAGGAAGTACATTCAGCAATCGCACTTGCTGGATTATCAGTTAACTGACCACCCCACCACCACCTCTGGTATACGCAAGTTTATATGTTGCCTTTACAGATGAAGATGAACACAGTGTTTTAGTACTTTAATATGTCCATTTATTAAACAGGAAGTCCTTCACAAATGATTCCATACTATATTGATCAAGATAAGTGTTAGAAAACTACCATTTTCCCTACATACAAAAATACAGACTTTTACCACTATGAAGACATGATCAGAAGAGTACCATGAAAATTTGTAGAGCTCAAATCTTCAAATATCAGAAAGAAAAAAAGAGGAAGACAAAATAAAAAAAAATTTACAAAAAGTATTGTGCCCATATACAAAAGACTGGAAAAGCAAAATGACATTTAAAACCGATAAATACACCATTTAAATTATGCTGTAACAGTATGGATTTTAAAAGCAGAAAATGCTTTCTGTATTGCCAGACATGACAATTCTTCAGCTCGTGGCTTTTGTTTAGCATAAACACCAATAGAGAAGAAGCACGCACACATTGACAAATTGTTACTAGTGTGAAACCAAGCTGGGGTTACACTTTCTTGTAGAGTTACCTTGCCCATGGAATTGGTCAAGCATTAATGGCACAACTGGCGCATACAGAGCTGGAAGATGCTACACACACATGTAGGTTCCAGCTGTCAATCCCCAGATGTCAGTGATCACAGCTGGTAGGTACCGCTACAGAAAGCATCTATTTTATCAGCTGGCCTCGTGTGCAGTTTGAGAACTTCAAGAACACTTACCAAAATAATGTGAAATTGCTTCAAGGCTGTAAATGGTCTCTGTATCAATATTT